CATGAGATAAGATAGAAATAAACTTGTTTGCACTGTCTAACAATTAGATTGGTGATGTGATTTTGTGTACCTTTATCTCTGTTTGTGTTTGTTCTCATCCGTTCACTTTTGTTCCTAGCTGTTACTTCCTCTTACAGTGGCCTTTAGCAGGTAATTTCTGTAGATCTCACGCATCCATCCATCCATCCTCTCTCTATCTCTCTCTCTCTCTGACTTCAATTCAGTTTCAATTGGCTTTATTGGTAAGATGTATTGATACATAATGGACTAGATAAAATGATAATAGCTATAGAAAATACACATTCTTCGACATCTTATGAAACTTATTGTCACTACCTGTCTTTCATCTTGTGGCAGGATGTGATGTAGTGTGCTGCCAACCTACCACTGTCTATGTCCTCTACTAGTAGGATTGGTAGCTTTTCTTAATCAAAGAGGTTTTTGAAACATTTAATTATCATTTCAAATTTGTGGAAGTAATGTTCTTAAATTGTTGTGTATTTTGTGCATTTTATTGGGAAGTGCAGCTCTGTCTCTGTTTCTTTCATAATGCAGTGATCACACAGCCTTTCTTCTTTTGGCAGCCAGCTTTTTCTGTGTCTGCCCTTTTCTATGGCTAGGGGCTGTGTTCATTGAGTCTGCACTTTGTCAAATGTTTTTCCAAAGTTGTTTCATGATGTACTGTCGATTTAAGGCCAGATAACGCTGTATTTTGCTTTGTGCTTGTGTTTCTTACCCAATAGATGATATAGTTTTGTTTTGACTGTGTTGTAATTTGTTTTATTCTAATTGATTGGATGTTCTGGTCCTGAGGCTTCAGTGTGTTAGTACAACAGGTTTGTGAACTCAGCCCCAGGACCAGCTGGAAGAGGAGACTCTTCTTTGCTCAGCTCTTGTCATTGAAGGGCTTGGTAATGATATGTCAGGGGGTTACTATATTTCATTGTTTCCAAAACGTAATTGCTATTTTTTGAGTTTCTGTTATTAGTGGATATTGGCCTAATTCTGCCCTGCATGCATTGTTTGTAGATTTCCTCTGGACATATAGGAGAATCTTACAGAACTCTGCATGCAGGGTTTACATGGGGTTTCAAGTTTCAAGTTTTAATGTCACATGCACAAGTACAGTGAAATGCCTTTCTTGCCAGCTCTAATCTCAACAATGCAGTAATCAATAGCAATGTAGAACAAAAACATACAAGATATAAAAATAAGAAATAATAACACCATAAAGTAAGTAAGAATACTATATACAGCAGAGGAGGCTGGTGGGTTGAGCTATAGGAGGACGGGCTCATTGTAATGGCAGAATTGGAATAAATGGAACGGAGTCAAACAAGTTGTTTCCATATGTTTGATGTGTTTGGTACCATTCCATTGATTTCATTCTAGCCATTACAATGAGCCTGTCCTCCTATAGCTCCTCCCACCAGCCTCCTCTGATATACAGGGTCAGTTCCAGTACCCTATTTACAATGTGCAGGGATACTGGATCGATAGAGGTAGATATGTATAGGGGTAAGGTGACTAGACATCAGGATATATGATAAACAGAGTAGCAGCAGCGTATGTGATGACTGTGAGTGGGTGTGCGTGTGTGTAGAGTCAGTATAAATGTACTGTACAGTATGTGCATATTATGTGTGTGTGAGCAAATGAGTGAGTGTTTGTATGTGTTGGAGTGTCAGTGTGCGTAAGTGTGTAGGGCCCTGTGAGTGTGCATAAAGACAATAAGAAAAAATTAGAATGAAATATAACGGTTAACTCAGATAGTCTGTGTAGCCATTTTGTTAGCTATTTAGCAGTCTTATGGCATGGGGATAGAGGTTGTTCAGGAGCCTGTTGGTGTCAGACTTGATGTACCGGTACCGCTTGCCGTGCGGGAGCAAAGAGAATAGTCTATGGCTTGAGTGGTTAGAGTCTTTTTTTGTGTGTTTGTGCCATTGGGTGAAATCTTGTGCTGGACCCCACACCTCGCTGCCATAAAGTGCAATTGATTTAATGACACATTCAATTAGTTTTAGCCACATTTTAATAGGTATTTCAATTTGAAATTGTTTTTTTTTATGGCATAGAATGCCCTGCGTGCTTTATCTCTCAGTTCTTTCACTATCTAATTTAGGTGTCCAGTTGAGCTTATTTTTAAACCTAAGTAATTGTAATGTGTACAGTACTCTATAGGGCGGTTTCGCGGACACAGATTAAGTCTAATCCTAGACTAAATTGCACTTTTAAACTGGACTAACAAAAATGTAATACAGAATAATCCACAAAGTCTTCAATGCTATATGTGAACTGAAAGACAATTACTTCAAGTAATCTGATGCTGCTGCCCAAGCCAACTACAAGATAGAGTTCTATGAATATGAGAACTTCCCTGGAGTCATTGGCTGTATAGATGGATGTCATATTCCCATCAAGTATTCCTCTACAACAGATGCTGAGGAGTTCTCAATAAATGTACAAAGTATGTGCACTCCCAATTTGCAGTTCTCCAGCATTGTTGCACGTTGGAAAGGTGCAACTCATGACTCAAGGATTTTCCAAAACTCCTCTTTGTGTGCTCAGCTTGATGGAGGACAACATAGTGGAATCATACTTGGTGACAATGGGTATGCACAGACCAACTTCTTGTTCACCCTTTATCTTCATGCATTAGGACTTGAGCAACAATGGTACAACCAAGCTCATATCCACACCAGAGGTGTAGTGGAGCGCATGTTTGGTGTATGGAAGAGTCGTTTCCAGTGTCTCAGAAACACATTTCAACCAAGAAGATGCTCCATTGTCATAATTGCAACAGCAGTGCTTCACAATTACCTCAAACAACATGGCTGCCCAGATCTTCGCATTGAAGATGAGGATGACGCAGATGTTCCCATGGTTGAGGCAGACAATGACAGAAATGGATTAGCCTGCAGAGATGCTTTTGCTATGCAGCACTTCTCACAACAAAGATAGCTCAAGTGATTGAAGCAAACAATAGCCATGGATTGGTAACAAATAGGTTTTTAATTCACAAATGGAAATATCATGACCCCGAACTGGTGCTGGTTTGAGAAGAACATTGGTACTGCTGCTGCTTCATGTTTCTCTCCTCCTTCTTCATAGCCAACTCAACAGGAAGGATTTAAATTCATGCTCTTCTTTTAAATACATTAGTTTGCGCTCATGAAATTCCATGGCCAGTTTCTCATGCATGCTCAGCCTCTGTCTTTGTCCTCCGGCCTGGGTTAGTGACACAATCTTCCCTCCTGGCTGCTGCAGATGTAGCAGGCTGACCTTCACCCTGTTTTATCCCCTCCAAGCTATGGTGATCATTTGCCTTTAGAACATTATTACATTGCTTCATTAGAGAACATTATTTATTCAAGAGTTGAGTTCATTACATAATTTTTTATTATGGGAGTGCAAGAGATGACTGACAACATTGCATATTCCCTGCAGTCTGGGGATGGCACATGTTGACTGAATGTGCCCTACCAAATGAGGATTGGAACGGTCCCCCATCTGAACTGTCCAAATGGTCATCATCGGGGATACCATCCAGGGGTTGCTGGCTATCAATGATCCCGGTCAACAAGTCCCCCAGTTCATCTGTCTCTGGTCTTACTGGGGGTCCGCCAGTAAGAAAACTAACATTTCAAAGTGACTCTGATTTGTAAAAGTGGGCCCACAATAAATACAATATTTTACCTGGAGTTGTTGTAGCATCCTTTTGTTTACTTTTTCATTTGCGTTGAATTGATTACAAATGGTAGTCCAGGCATTATTTTTGTGGTTTTCTGTTGATGAATCATGCTGTTTGTTCTCAATAATTGGGTGGTTTTACACAATTCGCTTTCAGAGGTTTTTTTCAAAGTCACAGAAATTCTTTGAATGTTTTCCTTTACCTCTGTCCATTTTTTGGTTTAGGTGACTTGCTCCAATTCCACACAATGCTTATGTATAAGTGTCCCATCCCTGGTTTTTGAAGCATCCTCAGGTCAGCACCAAGTGCACATAGTTAATCTATTTAGGATTCACAAAGATTAACTTTACCTTAGTCTGGGACTCCCTAGTCTAGAACTAATTAATCTGAAGTTAAGCAACATTTTAGAAAGTCATTTTTTAAATCTGGATTAATTTAAGTAGAATTAGCCTAGTCCTGACTTAAATTAAACTCAGTCTGTGAAACCGCCCCTATATGTTTTGTACCAGTTGAGAACTTTGGTCTAATTCCCTGATATCTGGATCTTCTCTGGAAAATCAGTATTTTGGTCTTTTTGGGGTTTACTGCTAGGGCCCAGGTCTGGCAGTACTGCTCTAGCAGGTCCAGGCTCTGCTCTAGGCCATGTGCTGTGGGTGACAGCAGGCACAAGTAATCTGCAAAGAGAAGGCATTTAACCACTGAATTGTGTAGACTAATATCAGTGGCTGAGGATTTTTCTAGAATAGTGGCCAATTAGTTTATGTAAATATTGTAAAGCACAGGTCTGACTGAGATTGCAACCCTGGTGAAGGACCCACCCCTGGTTAAATAATTATATTATTTTCTTGCCCATTTTGATGCTGCACCTATTGCCTGTTTACATTGATTTAATGATGTAATATGTTTTACCCCCAACACCACTTTCAATAACCCCTCTCTTTCTGGGGGATTTGGTTGGAGCTAGTTTTACAATCTCCTCTACATATCACAGTTTGTTAGGTAAAACATAGTTCTCATATAGGATTCCCAACTGTCCAATTAATTAATTGTCTTTTACCCAATTTGATGTATACTGTAACATGGTTTTACCTGCTAGCTAGCCTAGTATTATGTCCAATTGTATTGTATTATGTCCAATTATTGGTATTTTAACAAATGTAATTGACTTGTTATTATTTTTGTTGTGTCAAAAAAGTAATCATTTGTATCAATTTCACAAGTTTCTGTTCAAAAAGTAAGTACCTCCGACAATACGTTTATTTTGAAATTCATTTTTAAAAAACGTTGACGCCAGGTCCCACAGTAATCTCGCGATAGACTGGAACACTGCTTAAATCAAGGAAGTAGCGAGGTGGGTAGTTTACTTAATTCATTAACATTTTGTTGGTAGTTATTAATATCACAATTATCTATTAAATGATATATTCACGGTCTTTGAAAAATGCCTGCAATTTGGGGCTGTAAATTTAATGTCAATCTCACACAATCTGAAATATCGGCGATGGGCTAACGTTAATGCTAGGCTAGCTAGCTCGCACCGGAAACAAACAATCAGGACAGGCAACGACAACGTTACTAACGTTAGCTAGTAATGCTAGCTTGCTAGTAATGTTCGCTAGCTAGCTTTGCCTGAATTTGCTTTGATAATCCAGTTATTTTCACCTGTCCGTGTGGTTATTGTTTGTCAAACTGACAGTATGTTGTTGTCTTTCCTTGACACTGACATATTCAAACAAGTTCTGTTGATTTATGAGCAGGGAGGCACTTTGACGACGTTAGCTAACTGCCTGACCAAATTAGCCAGCTAGCTAGCAAATTACCATTAGCTAGCTAATCGGGGGCATCGTCTTGTCTGCTCATTTTAAGTTTACTAGCTAGCTACCTAATTGTCAGTAAAGTCATGTCAAAAGCAAAAGGATCAGGCCATGTTCAGTGTGAGCTTTTGGCAGGTCACAGGTATTTTGGTTAAATTGACCGAAGCCATAGGCTGCTTTATTGTAAATAACTCTCCCTTGTTGACAATAAGTATCTTTGTAGTTGGTTATTATATTTGGCAGACCATAAACAGATTAACTTTGCTAGCTACTCATTTGAACTAGCTAACTTGGTTGTGTTGTTCAGCCAAACAACTGTTGTAAACTTAAGTATACAGTGTAAAACAGTCAATTTCTTATCAGTGTCACTCACAATGTGGTCATATTTATGTCCTTCTCTCAGATGGAGAACTTGCATCTCTCACAGGGATAGTGCAGTCTCGCATGCTGTCAAAGGATGCCGCTCATCGCCAGGAACACAAAGAACTCTGGGACACGGACTGCCTCTGTAACTTGCGACCCGGCCGGTTGCTGGGTGTTCAGAAGACGAGAGAAAAGATGCCCGTCATCTTCGTTGTCTGTGCCAGATAGTAGAGAGAAGCAGTGCATCTAACCTCCTCTGTGTTTGACGAACACTCTAACCCCAACGCCTTTAAAACCTAAACACAACACTAAAAAAACAACCAAAAAAACTATGAACTTTCTCACAGCCCTCGTGACGTTCGAGAACCTCCATGAGGTCCGGAGGTTGTGTCACTGGGGCCCAGTGATAGCCCTGACGGTCATTGCCGTGTGCTCCTCCATGGCCATATTAGACTCCATTATCTGGTACTGGCCATTGGACACCACGGGAGGGAGCTTCAACTTCATCATGCTCATCAACTGGTCCGTGCTCATTCTCTACAACTACTTCAACGCCATGTTCGTGGGCCCTGGGTACATCCCCCTTGGCTGGAAACCAGTAAGGAGCTAAGCTGGGAAATGCATTTTTATTGACCCATTATACAGAGACAAGGGAAACTGATCATATTGCTGCTACACAACAATGTGTGAAATTGTGTTGTAGAGCAGAGTGGTCACTTAGCCTTATACCCTGGTCCTCCTGGAGAGCCAATTGGGTGCAGCCAAGTGTTTGTTCCAGCCCACACTAGGCCTTGATTGGTTGAATCCGGAGTGTTGGTGTTGGGTTAGAACAAAAGCCTGCACATCCTGTGGGACCAAGGTAGGGACGGGCACGGTTAATCGAATATTCGGATATCCGAAGGGATGTTAGTATTCGATTACTTGAGTGAGTGTTCATTTTTGGAGTGAACATTTTAACAATGAAAAGCTTTGTCTAAATTAAATCATCCTTGTGACATTTTTACCTACAAGGATATACCATGACATTTGAATGCGTTGAGCTACTGCTGCGCATTTATCCCTCTAGGCTGCCTTGACATCGGTATGCTATTTTCCCCACTTCAAATAGCATTACAGGCGCTCACCTAACGGAGTTTCCACAATACCCGACACATAAATGCAAAACACTTACCAGAACTTTTTTGGAACAGAAACAGTTCTATCATGGTGAAAATCAGACTTATTTTTCGCTGTTGCTGTTAGCTAAACTACCAGAGAAAAGCAGCATGTCCCGTTTACCGCTGTCATGTGTATTGGCGTCATTCTGATTGGTCGAGAGTCAATAGCATAAAAAAATACATATACACTACCGTTCAAAGGTTTGGGGTCACTTAGGCTTTTAAATTAATTAAATCAATTAGCCTTTTAAAATGATAAACTTGGATTAGCAAACACGATGTGCCATTGAAACACAGGACTGATGGTTGCTGATAATGGGCCTCTGTACGCCTATGTAGATATTCCATAAACAATCTGCAGTTTCCAGCTACAATAGCCAACAACATTAACAATGTCTACACTGAATTTCTGATCAATTTGATGTTATTTGAATGGACATAAAATTCATTTTCTGTCAAAAACAAGGGAATTTCTAAGTGACCCCAACTTTTGAACGGTAGTGAATATATTTTGTCTATCCGGATATCCGAAAAATGTCATATTAATCGAAAAGTAAAATAATTTCAAATGCCTATCCTTAGACCAGGGTTGGTGACCAGAATCCCTACCCTTGAATGCTTGAAGAGTAGAAATTGAATGCATCAGGCCCTTGACATGTGTTTTCTCCTCTTAAACAGGAGAAGGAACAAGACACCAAGTACCTTCAGTTCTGCAGAATGTGCCAAGGCTACAAGGCCCCGAGATCCCACCACTGCCGCAAGTGCAACAGGTAGACTTGGCAACCCTGACTCCGGCTTGTCACTGCTACAAATGTGCTCTGGTTGTGCTTCATTATAGCGTATGCTTACTGTTTTTTTTCAGGCAAGTCTCCCATTGACGTCAATGAATGATTTACTTGAATTATACTATTTTGTTGCCTTACAACCTGGAATTAAAATGGATTTTGGGGGGGGGTTTGTATCATTTGATTTACACAACATGGCTATCACTTTGAAGATGCAAAATATTTTTTGGGGTGAAACAAACAAGAAATAAGACAAAAAAACAGAACTTGAGCGTGCATAACTATTCAAGGCAAAACTGCTCCAGCTCCTTCAAGTTGGATGGGTTCCGCTGGTGTACAGCAATCTTTAAGTCATACCACAGATTCTCAATTGGATTGAGGTCTGGGCTTTGACTAGGCCATTCCAAGACATTTAAATGTTTCCCATTAAACCACTTAAGTGTTGCTTTAGCAGTATGCTTAGGGTCATTGTCCTGCTGGAAGGTGAACCTCCGTCCCAGTCTCAAATCTCTGGAAGACAAACAGGTTTCCTTCAAGAATTTCCCTGTATTTAGCGCCATCTATCATTCCTTCAATTCTGACCAGTTTCCCAGTCCCTGCTGTTGAAAAACATCCCCACAGCATGATGCTGCCACCACCATGCTTCACTGTGGGGATGGTGTTCTCGGGGTGATGAGATGTGTTGGGTTTGCGCCAGACATAACATTTTCCTTGATGGCCAAAAAGCTCAATTTTAGTCTAGTCTGACCAGAGTGCCTTCTTCCATATGTTTGGGGACTCTCCCACATGCCTTTTGGTGAACACCAAACATGTTTGCTTATTTGTTTCTTTAAGCAATGGCTTTTTTTCTGGCTACTCTTCCGTAAAGCCCAGCTCTGTGGAGTGTACGGCTTAAAGTGGTCCTATGGACAGATACTCCAATCTCCGCTGTGGAGCTTTGCAGCTCCTTCAGGGTTATCTTTGGTCTCTTTGTTGCGTCTCTGATTAATGCCCTCCTTGCCTGGTCTGTGAGTTTTGGTGGGTGGCCCTCTCTTGGCAGGTCTGTTGTGGTGCCATATTCTTTCCATTTTCTTATAATGGATTTAATGGTGCTCCGTGGGATGTTCAAAGTTGAAGATATTTTTTTATAACCCAACCCTGATTCTGTACTTCTCCACAACTTTGTCCCTGACCTGTTTGGAGAGCTCTGGTCTTCATGGTGGTGCCCCTTGCTTAGTGGTGTTGCAGACTCTGGGGCCTTTCAGAACAGGTGTATATATACTGAGATCATGTGACACTTAGATTGCACACAGGTGGACTTTATTTAACTAATTATGTGACTTCTGAAGGTAATTGGTTGCACCAGATCTTATTTAGGGGCTTCATAGCAAAAGGGGTGAATACATATGCACGCACCACTTTTCCGTTATTTATTTTGTAGATTTTTTTGAAACAAGTTATTTTTTTCATTTGACTTCACCAATTTGGACTATTTTGTGTATGTCCATTACATGAAATCCAAACAAAAATCCATTTAAATTATAGGTTGTAATACAACAAAATAGGAAAAACGCCAAGGTGGATGAATACTTTGCAAGGCACTTTAATTCGGGCTCAAAATGATTGAAAAGCACGTTGTGCTGTAAAGCAAAATGGTTTATTCACCTGGAAGCAAACAGGCCGAAATAGGGAGGGACTAACCTGAACTTGGCCAATAACTTGCAAAACATTTTGCTACGGTGTGCACTAATGAATAAACCCCAGTATAGTTTAAGCCAATTTACTGAAAGGTATGCACCCATTCATTAGTTATTTATCTCTTAGTAGATCTCTAATCCTTAGATCTACTAACACACTTAAATCTGGGGTGTGCTCAGCTGGGTGAAACAAAGGGGATTGCAGGTAGAGATTAATCACATAGAATGGACACTGGTTTTTACTACTCATACTTTCTACTAATGCTGTGATTCATAATAAGGAAATTGTCTGCTCTGTAACGTCACATTTCTTCCTGCCAGTGCCATCAGCATGTCAATCATTCAAGCCTGTGTTTCACAATGCTGATATTCCTCCCCTTTCTATTTTTCCTCCGCCTTTCTCCTCTTCATTCTCTCCTCCACCTCTTCTTTGAGATCCACAATGAAAATAAGTCTGACTTAATTGTGTTTTTAATCCTCAATTACTTGTAATGTGTGTATTGTTGTATTCACATGGCTGAGACAAGTTCATATGCTTTTTAAAATTGATACATAATTTCATTAATTTATCCTCAGGTGTGTGATGAAGATGGATCACCACTGCCCGTGGATCAACAACTGCTGCGGCCACCAGAACCATGCCTACTTCACCAGTTTCCTGCTGTTGGCGCCTCTAGGCTGCTCGCACGCCGCTTTCATCTTCATCATGACCATGTACACACAGCTCTACGAGAGGGTGAGGAGTCAGTGACACACTTGCAATTTACCTCTTATCAAGTCATCATTGTAGGCTGGTTTCCCAGACCCATACCCTCACACTCATGCCAAACCCGAACCGTACTGTTTCGTTTGGTTATTTACTGTACTTTTTATGCTTCCAGCAACTAAGGTGGATACGTAACCAGGCCAGCACAGTACAGCTTGGCTCAGTTTGACTTGACTCAGTAGTGTGAAAAGGGTACCAGATTAAGCCTACTCCTGGACTGAAAAGCATGCTCAATGGAGATTCTAAATTGAAAGTGCATTTTCGTCTAGTAGTCTTTGAGTCTTAGAAAGTTTTCAGACCCCTTGACTTTTTCCACACAAAGCGAAAACAGTTTTTTTGAATTCTTTGCAAATGTATTAATAATAAAAAAACAGAAATACCTTATTTACATAAGTATTCAGACCCTTTGCTATGAGACTTGAAATTGAGCTCAGGTGCACCCTGTTTCCATTGATCATCCTTGAGATGTTTCTACAACTTGATTGGAGTCCACCTGTGGTAAATTCAATTGATTGGACATGATTTGGAAAGGCACACACCTGTCTATATAAGGTCCCACAGTTGACAGTGCATGTCAGAGCAAAAACCAAGCCATGAGGTCGAAGGAATTATCTGTAGAGCTCTGAGACAGGATTGTGACGAGGCACAGATCTGGGGAAGGGTACTAAAAAATGTCTTGAAGGTCCCCAAGAACACAGTGGCCTCCATCATTCTTAAATGGAAGAAGTTTGGAACCACCAAGACTCCTAGAGCTCGCCGCCCGGCCAAACTGAGCATTCTGGGGAGAAGGTCCTTGGTCAGGGAGGTGACCTAGAACCCGATGGTCACTCTGACAGAGCTCCAGAGTTCCTCTGTGGAGATGGGAGAACCTTCCAGAAGGACAGCCATGTCTCTGAATGTCCTTGAGTTGCCCAGCCAGAGCCCGGACTTGATCCCGATCGAACATCTCTGGAGAGACCTGAAAATAGCTGTGTAGCAATGCTCCCCATCCAACCTGGCAGAGCTTGAGAGGATCTGCAGAGAAGATGTGGGAGAATGGGAGAAACTCCCCAAATACAGGTGTGCCAAGCTTTTAGCGTCATACCCAAGAAGACTCGAGACTGAAATCACTGCCAAAGGTGCTTCAACAAAGTACTGAGAAAAAGGTCTGAATAGTTATGTAAATGTGATATTTCAGTTTCTTATTTTTAATACATTTGCAAAAAATTCTAAAAACCTGTTTTTGCTTTGTAATTATGGGGTGATGTGTGTAGATTGAGGAAAACATTGTATTTTAATCCATTTTAGAATAAGGGTGTAACCTAACAAAATGAGGATAAAGTCAAGGGGTCTGAATACTTTCTGAGTGCACTGTAAATGCGTTCTTATTAATTGTTATTATAGATATCCTTTGGCTGGAGCACGGTGAAGATCGACATGAGCGCCGTCAGACGGTTTCAACCCATCATGCCGTTCAGCGTACCCGCCTTCGCCGCCACTCTCTTTGCCTTAGGGCTGGCACTGGGCACCACCATAGCCGTTGGCATGTTGTTCTTCATACAGGTAACATGCACATTGAGGCTAATAGAATACTGATAGTAATAGTGTGCCCACAGTCCATATTCAGCTATTTTCAAGGTGCAGGGTAGAGCCATATGAATGTCTAGTGGATTCACCTCTAGTAGATGACACTGTATACTTGAGTGTGTATTTCATTACAGACATTCTCCGGAACTTTGGCGACTACTAAGTATTTTTTTTACTTTACTGTCTTACCTCAATTAGCCACGAAATCCCTAGTTTGAAAGCGACTGCCATTTTCCCTACATTTTCCCCACACATGGGCCAGCCCCCTGGAAATGTGAGTTCTAGCCAATGAGCTTCAACCCCTCGCCATTTGAGTGACAGCTAGCAAGATGCACACACAGTAGAGAGAGGGAGAGAGAGCAATGTCATAGTGCACATATCTGCACATATGTGACATAGTAGCAATTTTTGGTAACCGCTTGTGAGCGCTACTTTCAGAACTACTTGCTAAAAAGTATACAAAATGTCTTTAAGAGAAGAGATGATGGTAGTACTTTTGATAGGTATTACACAGTAGTAACTCAAAGAATTCCCACCAAACGTTTTTTCTTCTCTCCACCCAAGATGAAAGTCATCCTTCGAAACAAGACCTCCATTGAGGCCTGGATCGAGGAAAAGGTGAGTGTTTGTCATGGAATAAGGAGTTCGATTAGGTTTTGTACAACCACTATACAACCTTACCATGTTTGAAAATTACAACCTCAATAGTCCTCGTCTCCTTTTTCTTCGAGACTTGTTTTTTTCACCTGCTAGGCCATACCAGACCATTGATCACGGAGGAAAGGACACAAGGAAAGGAAGCCACTTGACGCTATGGATACCATTGAGACACTATTGAAAGTGTTAACAGTAGTGTTGTGGCTCCCTTTCCTTGTACCCTAAACTTCATGATCACTGGTGCTAGTGTTTGTCAACAGCCGTGCCACTGTTGTCCAAAGGGCAGGCTAATCCAGTAGATCTCAGCTAATCTAATAGACATCAATGTTATTCTAGTGGCCTCTCAGCCTGTCAAAGGCTTAGTACAGAAGAACTTAGCTATGTGACACTAGGATTCTAGGCAAACATTGGAGCCAGAAATAACCATGTGCACTCTTTACCTCTCTCTTTCTGTGTGTGTGTCTCTCATTATCTTACTTACATTCTCCCTCACTCTTCTATCTTGCTCTGTCTCACTCCCCTTCCGCTTTTATCTCTTTCTCTCTCACTTTTTTATTTCTCTTTCTCTCACTATGTCATTCTTCACTCACTCACTACATTTTTCGATTTCTCATGCTTTCTCTCGTTCCTGCCTCGTCTCTTTCCCATCCCATCTCCTCAGGCCAAAGACAGAATTCAGTACTACCAAACAGGGGAAGAGTTTATCTTCCCCTATGACCTGGGCCGGCGCTGGGAGAACTTCAAACAGGTGTTCACCTGGTCAGGGAGCCCAGAGGGCGACGGCATCCAGTGGCCCATCCACGCCAAGTGTCACCAGCACACCTTAACCGTAAGTGATAATGATGTTGATGTAATATGGTCAGTTAGCATTAGCAGACATTTTCATCCAAATTTGACTTACATTCAGATGTTATTATATTCAATATGTTTGTATTGTATGATGATTTTACATTTGCAGTCGCTCTTATCCAGAGCGACTTACAGTTAGTGAGTGCATACATTATTATTTTATATTTTTTTCATACTGGCCCCCTGTGGGAATCGAACCCACGGAATATGGAATAGCCTTCATATCTTAGAACTAGAATAGACTGACGCGTTTCAGAAGAAAGTCATTTGTTTCTGGCCATTTTGAGCCTGTAATCGAACCCACAATTGCTGATGCTCCAGATACTCAACTAGTCTCAAGAAGGCCAGTTTTATTGCTTCTTTAATCAGCACAACAGTTTTCAGCTGTGCTAACATAATAGCAAAAGGGTTTTCTAATGATCAATTAGCCTTTTAAAATGATTAACTTGGATTAGCAAACCCAATGTGCCATTGGAACACAGGACTGATGGTTGCTGATTATGGGCCTCTGTACGCCTATGTAGATATTCCATTAAAAATCAGCTGTTTCCAGCTACAATAGCCATTTACAACATTAACAATGTCTACACTATATTTCTGATCAATTTGATGTTATTTTAATGGACAAAAAAAACAATTTCTAAGTGACCCCAAATTTTTGAACAGTAGTGTATATTTATATACACACACACACACTACATGACCAAAAGTATGTGGATTCCTGGGTCATTCTACAGATTCGGTGCCTTTTGTGATTGAGGAGGATGAAACAATGAACATTAAAATCTTAAGCTTTTTTTTATTTGATGTGACAAAGTAATGTGTGTACTTGATAGAAAATACCTTTTCCCATCTCAATGTAGAGTATTAAGTTATTATTCTGTATTATTTTCTCAAACAAGTCCCAATTTAATTCAACCCCGTCACAGTCATTTTGTTATTCAACTATTCATTTTTCCAATAAGCTTGAGATCAGCTTCTGGCATAATCTCACAGTTTAGATGTCCCTTGTAAGTAATGGCATATTGTAATTAAAGAGAAAATCAAGAAAAACTGACCAGCACCATCCTTTCCAGTTTACGATGAAGAAATTTCTAATCTAACTCCACATTTTCGCAAGAAATGTGCAAGAATGCTGCTTAATTCCTGACAAAATTGAAATAGCCTTATTTACCCTGATTTAATACACACAATAAAAACACTATTGATGTTATATTTTGTGTATTTAATACAAAAATGTAAAAAAATAATCTCGTAACAGGGATGAATGCACCGCAACAGGGTTGAAAATCATGTAACAGGGTTGAGTGAAAAGCATCACGTGTCATATGTTTTATCTTTTGAGATCACTAACATCAGCAGCATACAAGCTTGACATTGGAACTGTTTGGTTCTTGCATTGTTCACATTCACCGTACATGCACTGCTTATTCAAGGAACTACAACACACACTTTCAACTAAATCTTCAAGCACTGACGATTCAATAAGCTTAATTTGTTTGAGCTTCTCTGCGACAAAGGTCAGGTTTTCGTGAAGCTTACACATACAAGTGTCCCGATCAGCAAGGGAAGGGTAAACCACACAGAAAGGCCGGAGGCGGCTGAACATGGAGTATGAAATTTCTTCTGTGTTCTCTGCAAGAAACTTCCTATGCAGATTTTTCAACGTGTCAAGGAGGAACCTCTTCTGCATCTTCTGTTTGTTCTTTGTTTTAGTTTGCTTTTTGCCAGTGGTCATTCTACTGATATCATCACGTGTGAAGAAATCCCTCACCCTCTTCTTGATGTCCACAAAGTTTGAGATTTTCTTTCTTTGAAATGTAGATACACTGCCTGTGAGCTTCCAGCGTTTCTTTGAAAAACCCAAAGCAGACTCTGAAAATGATTGCAGTCTATACTTCTTAATAATGTTACCTGCCACTACTCTGGATATAATTTGCTTCTCTCGTTCAGTTTTTGCATTTTTATAATGCTCCTTTATTTGAGCAACGAGTGCTGTGTGATGCAGTGCAGATCTTCTGACATCACTTGGTACAGCTGTGGATTTTGACGAAGTCTTCTTTTCTAAACGCTGGAGCCTTTTTTTGTACTTTTCTTTGGCCCTCCTTTCTTCATCAAGACATTTCTGTAAATCAGCTACCTGCTTTCTCAATTTGTCTTTTGTCTTTCTTGATTTTTTCTTCCCCTTCACAGATTGTCTAAAACAAACAAATAGACAATTCAATTTTATTTATTGTATCAAATCATAACAAGGTAAGTTCATAAGCAGTATAAATAAATGTTAAGGATAATATTACAATGTGAATATGTCTAAGCAGTTTTGAAGAAATAGTGTACAAAGTTACCAGAAATAATATTTGTATGCACTCCTTTGCACTCCTATTCTCTCTCTCTCTCTCTCTCTCTCTCTCTCTCTCTCTCTCACACACACAATATTTTTCCTAACCTTGTGGGCTCATGTGACATCACCACGTCTCTATCAGGACTTTGTGGAGGGGTGGCAATAGTATTAACAGCCATTTCCCTTTGCTTTTGCCGCTCCTTCGCTTTTCTCCATCCCTTTCTCCTCATCTTTTGACCTCTCTTATCTAGATCTCCTATTCCTTTCTTCTTTCCTGCTAAAACATATTTTGTCCATCTCATGCGTTCACTCCTGAGGTACTTTTCCCTTCGTTCTGGATCAGCATTTCTTCTTGCCCTGTACTCTCTTTGCCTTTCTGCTGCTGTTTTTGCCATTGTTGAATCTGAAATTGTAGGTCAAGGTCAAGTCAATGACCAGTTTACTCTCCAAAACTAATTACTGTATCCTTTTAATCACTATGTAGTAAAATGAACGTGAACTTGCAGATAATACTCCTAAATATGTCAGTACAAACCAGTCGGCTAGTGAACATGAACCCCTCACGCACCAGTTGCCAAGGCAGTATACTGTATGTCTTTTTAGACTAGTCTTCATTTACATTCTCTAGTCTTTTTATGCATTACCAAATTATGCTTTAAAGCAACAAAACTTTATTTTCTGTTGATTGTGTGTCCATGACCACCACTACCTCGTGTCTTAAAGATCTTACATTTCCAGGAGAATTACCTGACCACCGGCGCGCGGATGTCCCTCACCTTCCTCTCTATGTGTGTTTCCTTTCTGCTGCTGTTTTTTCCATTGTTGAATCTGAAATTGTAGGTCAAGGTCAAGTAAATGACCTGCTTACTCTTCAAGACTAAATATTGTATCCTTTTAATCACTATGTAGTAAAATGAACATGAACTTGCAGATAATACTCCTAAATATGTCAATGTATATAGGAGAGAGAACAAATTAATTGTCACTTTTTTAAAGTTATTATTTTCAAAAATTCCTCGTACTTTTAGTTGATACTGTAAAACCGTAAACAACAAACATTCAACAAGAAAATATGATTGGTATTAAGCAATATACATTAAATATTGCTAAGATTTAACAGCTATTCAACCCTGTAACAGCCATTCAACCCCGTAACATTGAAAAATGTGATGGGGTTGAATGTGACAGGGTTGAAGATTTTGTGCTAATCTGTTGCTAATTCGGGATGCTAGCAGCTAGCAGTGTGCCACATGGCCTTATTCAACAAAATACATTGTTATACTTCATAGCTATAAAAACAATTCTTGGTAAAATCTTAACTATGAATTCCCCCCCCCCAACAGAGTTGAATACCTGAGATTGACAAAGCCCATATGTGCTTAAAAAACATGAAATATTTATAAAAAGTGAGAGAGCAGCTTACCACTTGTCACACCAGGCTTCTCTGAAGACTTGTATGATGTCACTTCCTCATAAATGATGTCCACAGGATCAAACCATTATTTAATTGTGAGTGGGGGTATTGTTGCGTTACGGGGTTGAAAGAAATACAAGGACAGGGGTAAAAGCCTGAATTTCTCAGAAAATAAAATGTCTTATGCTGAGAAAATGGATTATGCATAATAAGGGGGCATATACAATTAATTTAACAAAAAAAAAGCATTATTATTTAACACTGTGTACTCAAAATGAGTCACGCCATTTGCATGATGGTCAATAGGGACAGGCGAAATTCTTAATACTCCTAAGAAAAGCAAACATATAAGTATTGAAATTCATCTCTGTTTAAAATCATATTCTCTACTCCATATTAAAAACATGTAAAACTTTGAAATGTTGTAATTTAAGTGTAGTTTGATAAATGTTCTGACAAGTTATAACACTAGTACATCTTGGGACACTGACAATACTGAAATGTCACCGAATCTGTAGAATGACCCTCCTGCTCCTCGTACATCTCATTCCAAAATCATGGGCGTTAATATGGAGTTGGTTCCCCCTTCACTGCTATAACAGCCTCCACTCTTCTGGGAAGGCTTTCCACTAGATACAGTGGGGGAAAAAAGTATTTAGTCAGCCACCAATTGTGCAAGTTCTCCCACTTAAAAAGATGAGAGAGGCCTGTAATTTTCATCATAGGTACACGTCAACTATGACAGACAAATTGAGGAAAAAAAATCCAGAAAATCACATTGTAGGATTTTTAATGAATTTATTTGCAAATTATGGTGGAAAATAAGTATTTGGTCACCTACAAACAAGCAAGATTTCTGTCTCTCACAGACCTGTAACTTCTTCTTTAAAAGGCTCCTCTGTCCTCCACTCGTTACCTGTATTAATGGCACCTGTTTGAACTTGTTATCAGTATAAAAGACACCTGTCCACAACCTCAAACAGTCACACTCCAAACTCCACTATGGCCAAGACCAAAGAGCTGTCAAAGGACACCAGAAACAAAATTGTAGACCTGCACCAGGCTGGGAAGACTGAATCTGCAATAGGTAAGCAGCTTGGTTTGAAGAAATCAACTGTGGGAGCAATTATTAGGAAATGGAAGACATACAAGACCACTGATAATCTCCCTCGATCTGGGGCTCCACGCAAGATCTCACCCCGTGGGGTCAAAATGATCACAAAACCACACGGGGGGACCTAGTGAATGACCTGCAGAGAGCTGGGACCAAAGTAACAAAGCCTACCATCAGTAACACACTACGCCGCCAGGGACTCAAATCCTGCAGTGCCAGACGTGTCCCCCTGCTTAAGCCAGTACATGTCCAGGCCCGTCTGAAGTTTGCTAGAGTGCATTTGGATGATCCAGAAGAGGATTGGGAGAATGTCATATGGTCAGATGAAACCAAAATATAACTTTTTGGTAAAAACTCAACTCGTCGTGTTTGGAGGACAAAGAATGCTGAGTTGCATCCAAAGAACACCATACCTACTGTGAAGCATGGGGGTGGAAACATCATGCTTTGGGGCTTTTTTTCTGCAAAGGGACCAGGACGACTGATCCGTGTAAAGGAAAGAATGAATGGGGCCATGTATCGTGAGATTTTGAGTGAAAACCTACTTCCATCAGCAAGGGCATTGAAGATGAAACGTGGCTGGGTCTTTCAGCATGACAATGATCCCAAACACACCGCCCGGGCAACGAAGGAGTGGCTTCGTAAGAAGCATTTCAAGGTCCTGGAGTGGCCTAGCCAGTCTCCAGATCTCAACCCCATAGAAAATCTTTGGAGGGAGTTGAAAGTCCGTGTTGCCCAGCGACAGCCCCAAAACATCACTGCTCTAGAGGAGATCTGCATGGAGGAATGGGCCAAAATACCAGCAACAGTGTGTGAAAACCTTGTGAAGACTTACAGAAAACATTTGACCTGTGTCATTGCCAACAAAGGGTATATAACAAAGTATTGAGAAACTTTTGTTATTGACCAAATACCTATTTTCCACCATAATTTGCAAATAAATTCATAAAAAATCCTACAATGTGATTTTCTGTATTATTTATTCTCATTTTGTCTGTCATAGTTGACGTGTACCTATGATGAAAATTACAGGCCTCTCTCATCTTTTTAAGTGGGAGAACTTGCACAATTGGTGGCTGACTAAATACTTTTTTCCCCACTGTATTGGAACATTGCTGCGGGGACTTGTTTCCATTCAGCCACGAGCATTAGTGAGGTCAGGCGCTGATGTTAGGTGATTAGGTATTGCTCGCAGTTGGCGTTCCAATTCATCTTAAAGGTGTTTGATGGGGTTGAGGTCAGGGCTCTGCAGGCCAGTCAAGTTCTTCCACACCCATCTCGACAAACCATTACTGTATGAACCTCGCTTTGTGCACGGGGCATTGTCATGCTGAAACAGGAAAGGGCCTTCCCCAAACTAGTCCGAAACATGAAAAACAGCCCCAGAACAGTATTCTTCTTCCATCAAACTTTACAGTTGGCACTATGCATTCGGGCAGGTAGCGTTCTCCTGGCAACTGCCAAACCCAGATTTGTTTGTCGGACTGCCAGATGATGAAGCGTGATTCATCACTCCAGAGAACGCGTTTCCACTGCGCCAATGGCAGCGAGCTATACACCACTCCAACCGACGCTTTGCATTGCGCATGGTCTTAGGCTTGTGTGCGGCTGCTCAGCCATGGACACCCATTTCATGACGCTCCCGACAAACAGTTGTTGTGCTGACGTTGCTTCCAGGGGGAGTTTGGAACTCGGTAGTGAGTGTTGCCACCGAGAACAGACTATTTTTACGCGCTTCAGCACTCGGTGGTCCCGTTCTGTGAGCTTTTGTGGCCTACCACTTTGCGGCTGAGCCGTTGTTGCTCCTAGACGTTTCCACTTTACAATAACAGCATTTACAGGTCACTGGGGCAGCTCTAGCAGGGCAGAAATTTGGCCAACTGACTTGTTGGAAAGGTGGTATCCTATGATGGTGCCACGTTGAAAGTCACTGAGCTCTTCAGTAAGGCCATTCTACTGCTAATGTTTGTCTATGGAGATTGCATGGCTGTGTGCTCGATTTTATACACCTGTCAGCAACGGGTGTGGCTGAAATAGATATATGTAGATATAATAAATGTTGTTGTTGTAAGAAAACACATGGAATTCAGTATGTGTGGTCCGTCTGGTAATCAAATCCACCATTCTGGTATTGCTAGCGCCATACTCCAACCCAGCTGAACCATCGGAACATGGGTTGTCACACTTAACAGACTTGTGACGTTTGGCATTTTCAATGATAAACCATTCTCTTGTGTTTGTTCGCTTTCTAGATTGAGCAACTGAAACAAAAAGCTGACAAGCGGGTGAGAAGTGTAAGTAGCTGACATTTTCCTGTTCAGACAGCAGTGGGTGGCATTGGTTCAAAGACCTCGTATGTATTGATGGGTGGTGAAATATTTGCAATCTCATCTAGTTAGGTGAATGTTTGTTAGCAGTGTCTTCAGTATTCCAGACAATATAATGTTATTCTATTTCCCCATTCATTCTGAAAATGTCTATATACAGTGTACGGAAAGTATTCAGACCCCTTCCCATTTGCACATTTTGTTATGTTACAGCCTTATTCTAAAATAGATTAAATTATTGTTTTTCCTCATCAATCTACACACGTTACTCAATAATGACAAAGCAAAAACAGGTTTTTAGAATTTATTTTAGAATTTATAAAAAAAATAATAACAGAAATAGCTTATTTACATACAGTGACAGTCAAGTTTGGACACACCTACTCATTCAAGGGATTTTCTTTATTTTTACTATTTTCTACGTTGTAGAATATTAGTGAAGACATCAAAACGATGAAATAACACACATGGAATCATGTAGTAACAAAAAAGTAGCCACCCTTTGCCTTGATGACAGCTTTGCACGCTCTTGGCATTCTCTCAACAAGCTTCATGAGGTAGTCACCTGGAATCCATTTAAATTAACAGGTGTGCCTTGTGGAATTTATTTTCTTCTTAATGCGTTTGAGCCATTCAGTTGTGTTGTGACAAGGTAGGGTTCGTATACAGAAGACAGCCCTATTTGGTAAAAGACCAAGTCCATATTATGGCAAGAACAGCTCAAATAAGCACAGTCCATCGTTACCTTAAGACATGAAGGTCAGTTAATCCAGAAAATGTCAAGAACTTTGCAGTCGCAAAAACCATCAAGCACTACGATGAAACTGGTTCTCATGAGGACCGCCACAGGAAAGGAAGACCCAGAGTTACCTCTGCTGCAGAGGATAAGTTCATTAGAGTTACCTGCCTCATAAATTGCAGCCCAAATAAATGCTTCACAGAGTTCAAGTAACAGACACATCTCAACATCGACTTTTCAGAGGAGACTGCATGAATCAGGCCTTCATGCTGCAAATAAAACACTACTAAAGGACACACATAAGAAGAGACTTGCTTGGGCCAAGAAACACGAGCAATGGACATTAGACCGGTGGAAATCTGTCCTTTGGTCTGATGAGACCAAATTTGAGATTTTTGGTTCCAACCGCCGTGTTTTGTGAGACGCAGAGTAGGTGAACGGATGATCTCCGCATGTGTGGTTCCCACCGAGAAGCATGGACAAGGAGGTGTTATGGTGTGGGGGTGCTTTGCTGGTGACACTGTTGGTGATTTATTTAGAATTCAAGGCACACTTAACCAGCATGGCTACCACAGCATTCTGCAGCGATACGCCATCCCATCTGGTTTACGCTTAGTGGGACTATCATTTGTTTTTCAACAGTACAATGACCCAAAACACACCTCCAGGCTGTGTAAGGACTATTTGACCAAGAAGGAAAAGCAGCCAACAAGTGCTCAGCATATGTGGGAACTCCTTCAAGACTGTTGGAAAAGCATTCCTCATGAAGCTGGTTGAGAGAATGCCAAGAGTGTGCAAAGCTGTCATCAAGGCAAAGGGTGGCTACTTTGAAGAATCTAAAATCTAAAATATATTTTGATTTGTTTAACACGTTTTTGGTTACTACATGATTCCATGTGTGTTATTTCATAGTTTTGATGTCTTCACTAATATTCTACACTGTAGAAAATAGTGAAAATAAAGAAAAACCCTTGAATGAGTAGGTGTGTCCAAACTTTTGACTGGTACTGTAAGTATTCAGACCCTTTGCTATGAGACTCAACATTGAGCTCAGGTGCATCCTGTTTCCGTTGATCATCCTTGATGTTTCTACAACTCGTTTGGTGTCCACCTGTGGTCAATTTAATTGATTGGATATGATTTGGAAAGGCACGCACCTGTCTATATAAGATCCCACAGTTGACAGTGCATGTCAGATCAAAAACCATGCCATGAGGTCGAAGGAATTGTCCGTAGAGCTCCGAGACAGGATTGTGTCGAGGCACAGATCTGGGTAACGGTTCCAAAACATTTCTGCAGCATTGAAGGTCCCCAAGAACACAGTGGCCTCCATCATTCTTAAATGGAAGACGTTTGGAACCATCAAGACTCTTCCTAGAGCTGGCCGCCCGGCCAAACTGAGCAATCGGAGAAGAAGGGCCTTGGTCAGGGAGGTGACCAAGAACCCAATGATCACTCTGAAAGAGCTCCAGAGGTCCTCTGTGGAGATGGGAGAACCTTCCAGAAGGACAACCGTCTCTGCAGCACTCCACCAATCAGGCCTTTATGATAGAGTGGTCAGACGGAAGCCACTCCTCAGTAAAAGGCACATGACAGCCCGCTTGGAGTTTGCCAAAAGGCACCTAAAGGACACTCAGACCATGAGAAATAAGATTATCTGGTCTGATGAAACCAAGATTGAACTCTTTGGCAATAATGCCTTTTGTCACGTCTGGAGGAAACCTGGCACCATCCCTATGGTGAAGCATGGTGGTGGCAGCATCATGCTGTGACAATGTTTTTCAGCGGCAGGGACTGGGAAACTAGTCAGGATCAAGGGAAAAATGAACCGAGCAAAGTACAGAGAGATCCTTGATGAAAACCTGCTCCAGAGCGCTCAGGACCTCAGACTGGGGCGAAGGTTCACCTTCCAACAGGACAACGACCCAAGAACACAGCCAAGACAACGCAGGAGTGGCTTCGGGACAAGTCTGAACGTCCTTGATTGGCCCAGCCAGACCCTGGACTTGAACCCGATCAAACATATCTTGAGAGACCTGAAAATAGCTGTGCAGCGACGCTCCCCATCCAACCTGACAGAGCTTGAGAGGATCTGCAGAGACGAATGGGAGAAACTCCCCAAATACAGGTATGTCAAGCTTGTAGCGTCATACCCAAGAAGATTAGAGGCTATAATCGCTGCCAAAGGTGCTTTAACAAAGTACTGAGTAAGGGGTCTGAATACTTATGTAAGTTTAATATTTCAGGTGATTAAAAAAATATATATAAAATTTGGCAACATTTCTACAAACCTGTTTTTGCTTTGTCATTATGGGGTATTGTGTGTAGATTGATGAGGAAAAAAAGAAATTCCAAGCAATTTTAGAATAAATCTGTAACGTAGCAAAATGTGTAAAAAGGGAAGGGGTCTGAATGTTTTCTGAATGCGCTGTACCTTACAAACGCTGACTACGTTGGCATCCCTTTTTGAAGCCACTTCTGCATCATATTTTTAAGTAGTACGTCGCTATAATCCACTTTTAAATGTTGAAGTTTTGATGTTATGGTCATTATGGTATAATAATCATATTATATCCTGTGGCTCGGCCAGCAGATTCAGTACCGGGTAGTGGAGGATTACAACGGAGCCTGCTGCCCACTGAGCAAGGGCCTCAACACCTTCTTCAGGACTCCCTGCACCGAGGAGCCACGCATCGGCCTCCACAAGGGGGAGACCATCCTCGCCACCCGGGGGACCAAGTGAGTCTCTTTTGAGAACCAATCTTCAGCCTTTTGGGGGGGGAACCAATCTGCAGGCTTTTGGGGGGGAACCAATCTGCAGGCTTTTGGGGGGGAACCAATCTGCAGGCTATTAGGGGGAACCAATCTGCAGGCTATTAGGGGGAACCAATATGCAGGCTATTAGGGGGAACCAATCTGCAGGCTATTGGGGGGAACCAATCTGCAGGCTATTGGGGGGAACCAATCTGCAGGGTTTGGGGGATCCAATCTGCAGAGTTTTGGGGGGAATCAAGCGGCAGGTTTTGAGGCGAAACTACTAAAGTGAACTCCATGACCGCCATGGTGATACACGTCTCTTCTGAATGGGGAAAACCGGACTGATAGTTACCATAGTCATGGTATTACTCATTGCCATAGCAATAGTACCATTTGGAAAAGTCCTGAGTGCCTCAATAGAGAAGAGAATATTTTACGTCTTTGGGGTTATTAGCCTGTCCCTATAATTTAGTCCTCTTTGAAGTTGATTATCACAGTCTCCATTTGCTGCCAGGTATTATGTTCGGGCTATTCCGAGAATCTTTTTTCAGCTGAGTGCTTTCCCGCATGCATGCCAGGTCGTCAGTTGATAAAAAACTGTACCCGAATGGCCGGAGAAGTAATTGGTTTCTCTACATTTTCAGAGAATTTCAGAACCATTATTTATTTTCTTTGTGTTTCTTTAGATGGTGGATGTATGGGGACAAAGTGCTGGATGATGAGCAGACTAAAGGTATGGCTCTGAACATGGAAGAATACCAGGTTTACTCAAAGCTTTCTCACCAGTGCACATTCTCAGCCATTTTGCAGAAGAGAATGAAAACTTCCAAACAGAGCTGTTACATAGTAATCTTGATTATCACCCACTTTTTATTTGCCTTTTCTGGTTTTAACTTCCAGAGAGTGAAAAAATGGCGCAAAGATTTTATTGTTTTATTTATTTAACCTTTATTTAACTAGGCAAGTCAGTTAAGAACAAATTCTTATTTACAATGACGGCCTACACCGGCCAAACCCGGACGACGCTGGGCCAATATTGCGCCGCCCTATGGGACTCCCAATCACGGCCGGTTGTGATACAGCCTGGAATCGAACCAGGGGGTCTGTAGTGACGCCTCAAGCACTGAGATGCAGTGCCTTAGACCGTTGCGCCACTCGGGAGCCCAAAGATGCAAGTGAATGACGTGAATCTGGCCCTCACAACACAAAATGCTGAATGACAATAATTACTGTTACTGTATACAGTACCAGTCAAAAGTTTGGACACACATATTCATTCCAAGGTTTTTCTTTATTTTTACTATTTTCTACATTGTAGAATAATAGTGAAGACATCAAAACTATGAAATAACACATATGGAATCATGTAGTAACCAAAAAGTGTTAAACAAATCAAAATATGTTATATTTGAGATTCTTCAAAGTAGCCACCCTTTACCTTGATGACAGCTTTGCACACTCTTGGCATTCTCTCAACCAGCTTCATGAAGAATGCTTTTCCAACAGTCTTGAAGGACTTCCCACATTTACTAAGCACTTGTTGGCTGCTGTTCCTTCATTCTGCTGTCCAACTCATCCCAAACTATCTCAATTGGGTTGAGGTTGGGTGATTGTCGAGGCCAGGTCATCTGATGCAGCACTCCATCACTCTCCTTCTTGGTCAAATAGCCCTTACACAGCCTGGAGGTGTGTATTGGGTCATTGTGCTGATGAAAAACAAATGATAATCCCACTAAGCGCAAACCAGATGGTATGTCGTATCGCTGCAGAATGCTGTGGTAACCATGCTGGTTAAGTGTGCCTTGAATTCTAAATCACTGACAGTGTCACCAGCAAAGCACCCCCACACCATCACTCCTCCTCCATGCTTCACGGTGGGAACCACATATGCATATCCGTTCACCTACTCTGCGTCTCACAATTGGACTCATCAGACCAAAGGACAGATTTCCACCGGTCTAATGTCCATTGCACGTGTCTCTTCTTCTTATGCTCGTGTTTCTTGGCCCAAGTAAGTCTCTTTTTCTTATTGGTGTCCTTTAGTAGTGGTTTCTTTGCAGCAATTCGACCATGAAGGCCTGATTCACGCAGTCTCCTCTGAACAGTTAATGTTGAGATGTGTCTGTTACTTGAACTCTGTGAAGCATTTATTTGGGCTGCAATCTGAGGCTGGTAACTCTAATGAACTTATCCTCTGCAGCAGAGGTAACTCTGGGTCTTCCTTTCCTGTGGCGGTCCTCATGAGAGCCAGTGTCATCATTGTGCTTGATGGTTTTTGCGACTGCACTTGAAGAAACTTTCAAAGTTCTTGACATTTCCGTATTGACTGACTTAAAGTAATGATGGACTGTTTTGAGCTGTTCTTGCCATTATATGGACTTGGTCCTTTACCAAATAGGGCTATCTTCTGTATACCAACCCTACCTTGTCACAAAACAACTGATTGGCTCAAACACATTAAGAAGGAAATAAATTACACAAATTAACTTATAACAAGGCACACCTGTTAATTGAAATGCATTCAGGTGACTACCACATGAAGCTGGTTGAGAATGCCAAGAGTGTGCAAAGCTGTCATCAAGGCAAAGGGTGGCTACTTTGAAGAATCTCAAATATATTTTGAATTGTTTAACACTTTTTTGGTTACAACATGATTCCATATGTGTTCTTTCATAGTTTTGATGTCTTCACTATTATTCTACAATGTAGAAAATAGTAAAAATAAAGAAAAACCCTTGAATGAGTAGGTGTGTCCAAACCTTTGACTGGAACTATATCTATCTATCTATCTCTATATATATACACAGTGGTGTGAAAAAGTGTTTCCCCCCTTCCTGATGTCTTATTTGTTTGCATGTTTGTCACACTTAAATGTTTCAGATCATCAAACAAATTTAAATATTAGTCAAAGATAACACAAGTAAACACAAAATGCAGTTTTGAAATTAAGGTTGTTATTATTAAGGGAAAACAAAATCCAAACCCACATGGCCCTGTGTGAAAAAGTGATTGCCCCCTACAACCTAATAACTGGTTGGGCCACCCTTAGCAGCAACAACTGCAATCAAGCGTTTGCGATAACTTGCAATGAGTCTTTTACAGCGCTGTGGAGGAATTTTGGCCCACTCATCTTTGCAGAATTGTTGTAATTCAGCCACATTGTAGGGTTTTCGAGCATGAACTGCCTTTTTAAGGTCATGCCACAGCATCTCAATAGGATTCAGGTCAGGACTTTGACTAGGCCACTCCAAAGTCTTCATTTTGTTTTTCTTCAGGCATTCAGAGGTGGACTTGCTAGTGTGTTTTGGATCATTGTCCTGCTGCAGAACCCAAGTTCGCTTCAGCTTGAGGTCGCGAACAGATGGCCGGACATTCTCCTTCAGGATTTTTTGGTAGACAGCAGAATTCATGGTTCCATTTATCACAGCAAGTCTTCCAGGTCCTGAAGCAGCACAACAGGCCCATACCATCACACTATCACCACCATATTTTACTGTTGGTATGATGTTCCTTTTCTGAAATGCGGTGTTACTTTACGCCAGATGTAATGGGACACACACCTTCCAAAAAGTTCAACCTTTGTCTCGTCAGTCCACAGAGTATTTTCCCAAAGGTCTTGGGGATCATCAAGATGTTTTCTGGCAAAAATGAGACGAACCTTAATGTTCTTTTTGCTCAGCAGTGGTTTTCGTCTTGGAACTCTGCCATGCAGGCCATTTTTGCCCAGTCTCTTTCTTATGGTGGAGTCATGAACACTGACCTTAACTGAGGCAAGTGAGGCCTGCAGCTCTTTGGATGTTGTTGTGGGGTCTTTTGTGACCTCTTGGATGAGTCGTCGCTGCGCTCTTGGGGTAATTTTGGTCGGCCGGCCACTCCTGGGAAGGTTCACCACTGTTCCATGTTTTCGCCATTTGTGGATAATGGCTCTCACTGTGGTTCGCTGGAGTCCCAAAGCTTTACAAATGGCTTTATAACCTTTTCCAGACTGATGGATCTCAATTACTTTCTTTCTCATTTGTTCCTGAATTTCTTTGGATCTCGGCATGATGTCTAGCTTTTGAGGATCTTTTGGTCTACTTCACTTTGTCAGGCAGGTCCTATTTAAGTGCTTCCTTGATTGAGAACATGTGTGGCAGTAATCAGGCCTGGGTGTGGCTAGAGGAATTGAACTCAGGTGTGATAAACCACAGTTGAGCTGTGTTATAACAGGGGGGGCAAACACTTTTTCACACAGGGCCATGTAGGTTTGGATTTTGTTTTCCCTTAATAATAACAACCTTCATTTCAAAACTGCATTTTGTGTTTACTTGTGTTATCTTTGACTAATATTTAAATTTGTTTGATGATCTGAAACATTTAAGTGTGACAAACATGCAAACAAATAACAAATCAGGAAGGGGGCAAACACTTTTTTTCACACCACTCTATATAAATATATATATATATACAGCTCTGGAAAAGATTAAGAGACCAGTGCAAAAATATAAGTTTCTCTGGTTTTACTATTTATAGGTATGTGTTTGGGTGAAATTAACATTTGTGTTTTATTCTATAAACTACTGACAACATTTCTCCCAAATTCCCAAAAAAAGATATTGTCATTTAGAGCATTTATTTGCAGAAAATGAAAACTGGTCAAAATAACAAAAAAGATGCAGTGTTGTCAGACCTCGAATAATGCAAAGAAAATAACTTCATGTTCATTTTTAAACAACACAATAGTAATGTTTTAACTTAGGAAGAGTTCAGAAATCAATATTTGGTGGAATAACCCTGATTTTCAATCACAGCTTTCATGCGTCTTGGCATGTTCTCTACCCGTCTTTCACATTGATGTTGGGTGACTTTATGCCACTCCTGGCGCAAAAATTCAAGCAGCTCGGCTTTGTTTGATGGCTTGTGACCATCCATCTTCCTCTTGATCACATTCCAGAAGTTTTCAATGGGGTTCAGGTCTGGAGATTGGGCTGGCCATGACAGGGTCTTGATCTGGTGGTCCTCCATCCACACCTTGATTGACCTGGCTGTGTGGCATGGCGCATTGTCCTGCTGGAAAAACCAATCCTCAGAGTTGGGGAACAATGTCAGAGCAAAAGGAAGCAATTTTTCTTCCAGGACAACCTTGTACTTGGCTTGATTTATGCGTCCTTCACAAAGACAAATCTGCCCGATTCCATCCTTGCTGAAGCACCCCCAGATCATCACCGATCCTCCACCAAATTTCACAGTGGGAGCGAGACACTGTGGCTTTTAGGCCTCTCCAGGTCTCCATTAGACGACCAGGTGTTGGGCAAAGCTGAAAATTGGACTCGTCAGAGAAGATGACCTTACTCCAGTCCTCTACGGTCCAATCCTTATGGTCTTTTGCAAACCTCAGCCTGGCTCTTCTATGCTTCTCATTGATGAAGGGCTTTTTTCTAGCTTTGCACGACTTTAGCCCTGCCCCTAGGAGCCTGTTTCGAACCGTCCTCGCCATGCACTTCACCCCAGCTGCCATTTGCCATTATTTTTGTAGGTCACTTGATGTCATCCTACGGTTGTTGAGTGACATTCAAATGAGTTGGCGGTCATCCCGGTCAGTAGAGAGTCGTTTTCGCCCTCTGCCGGTCTGTAGCTTTCTTGTCCCCAATGTCTGCTGCTTGACCTTGTTCTTTTGAACCGCTTTCTTTGAGATTTTAAGGATGGAAGCAACCTGACGCTCACTGTATCCCTCTGCCAGTAAAGCCAGAATTGAACCCTTCTTTTCCTCACTCAAAACTTTCCATTTCAACTCTTTTGGCATGGTCAATAGTTATTTTTGATTAATATTACTTTTGAGGTACTATTAGCACTGTTTTTGCCATCCAGCTGGTCCTATTGCAAGAAGATAGTGATGACCACAGCAGTGGTTTTTATACTTTTCCTTGTTAAATAAGATTTGGTTCAGGTGATCACCTAATCAGTACCTAATTCAGTAGAATGAGGTGTGCCTGTGTTGGAATTCAACAGACACTGGAATGGAATGGCTGTCATACATGTAGAGTCTCTTAATTTTTTCCAGAGCTGTATATACACATACATACATGCATACATACATAAGTTGAAGTTGGAAGTTTACATACACCTAAGCAAAATACATTTAAACTCAGTTTTTCACAATTCCTGACATTTAATCCTAGTGAAAATTCCCTGTTTTAGGTCAGTTAGGATCACCACTTTATTTTAAGAATGTGAAATGTCAGAATAATAGTAGAGAGAATTATTTATTTCAGCTTATATTTCTTTCATCACATTCCCAGGGGGTCAGAAGTTTACATACACTCAATTAGTATTTGGTAGCATTGCCTTTAAATTGTTTAACTTGGGTCAAACTTTTTGGGTATCCTTCCACAAGCTTCCCACAATATGTTGGGTGAATGTTGGCCCATTCCTCCTGACAGAGCTGGTGTAACTGAGTCAGGTTTGTAGGTCTGCTTGCTCGCACACGCTTTTTCAGTTCTGCCCACACATTTTCTATAGGATTGAGGTCAGGGCTTTGTGATGGCCACTCCAATACCTTGACTTTGTTGTCCTTAAGCCATTTTGCCACAACTTTGGAAGTATGCTTGGGGTCGTTGTCCATTTGGAAGACCCATTTGCGACCAAGCTTTAACTTTACGACTGATGTCTTGAGAAGTTGCTTCAATATATCCACATAATTTTCCTTCCTCATGATGATATCTATTTTGTGAAGTGCACCAGTCCCTCCTGCAGCAAATCACCCCCACAGCATGGTGCTTCATGTTTGGGATGGTGTTCTTCAGCTTGCAAGGCCCCCCTTTTTCCTCCAAACATAACGATGGTCATTATGGCTTCTTCCTTGCTGAGCGGCCTTTCAGGTTACGTCGATATAGGACTCGTTTTACTGTGGATATAGATACTTTTGTACCTGTTTCCTCCAGCATCTTCACAAGGTCCTTTGCTGTTGTTCTGGGATTGATTTGCACTTTTCGCACCAAAGTACGTTAATCTCTAGGAGACAGAACGCGTCTCCTTCCTGAGCGGTATGACGGCTGCGTGGTCCCATGGTGTTTATACTTGCGTACTATTGTTTGTACAGATGAATGTGGTACCTTCAGGCGTTTGGAAATTGCTCCCAAGGATGAACCAGACTTGTGGAGGTCTACAATTATTCTTCTGAGGTCTTGGCTGATTTCTTTTGATTTTCCCATGATGTCAAGCAAAGAGGCACTGAGTTTGAAGGTAGGCCTTGAAATACATCCACAGGAAGACCTCCAATTGACTCAAATGATGTCAATTAGCCAATCAGAAGCTTCTAAAGCCATGACATCACTTTCTGGAATTTTCCAAGCTGTTTAATGGCACAGTCAACTTAGTGTATGTAAACTTCTGACCCACTGGAATTGTGATACAGTGAGTTATAAGTGAAATAATCTGTCTGTAAACAATTGTTGGAAAAGTACTTGTGTCGTGCACAAAGTAGATGTCCTATCCGACTTGCCAAAACTATCGTTTGTTAACAAGAACAAGTTTTAATGTCTCCAACTTAAGTGTATGTAAACTTCCGACTTCAACTGTATATACAGTTGAAAATGTGTGGGCAGAACTGAAAAAACGTGTGCGATCAAGGAGACCTACAAACCTGACTCGGTTACACCAGCTCTGTCAGGAGCAATGGGCCAAAATTCACCCAACTTATTGTGGGAAGCTTGTGGTAGGCTACCCAAAACGTTTGACCGAAGTTAAACAATTTAAAGGCAATGCTACCAAATACTAATTGAGTGTATGTAAACTTCTGACCCACTGGGAATGTGATGAAAGAAATTAAAGCTGAAATGAATAATTCTCTCTACTATTATTCTGACATTTCACATTCTTCAAATAAAGTGGTGATCCTAACTGACCTAAGAAAGGGAATTTTTACTAGGATTAAATGTCAGGAATTGTGAAAAACTGAGTTTAAATGTATTTGGCTAAAGTGTATGTAAACTTCCGATTTCAACTATATGTATATATACACTGCTCAAAAAAATTAAGGGAACACTTAAACAACACAATGTAACTCCAAGTCAATCACACTTCTGTGAAATCTGTGGCAAGAAGGTTTGCTGTGTCTGTCAGCGTAGTGTCCAGAGCATGGAGGCGCTACCAGGAGACAGGCCAGTACATCAGTAGACGTGGAGGAGGCCGTAGGAGGGCAACAACCCAGCAGCAGGACCGCTACCTCCGCCTTTGTGCAAGGAGGAGCAGGAGGAGCACTGCCAGAGCCCTGCAAAATGACCTCTAGCAGGCCACAAATGTGCATGTGTCTGCTCAAACGGTCAGAAACAGACTCCATGAGGGTGGTATGAGGGCCCGACGTCCACAGGTGGGGGTTGTGCTTACAGCCCAACACCGTGCAGGACGTTTGGCATTTGCCAGAGAACACCAAGATTGGCAAATTCGCCACTGGCGCCCTGTGCTCTTCACAGATGAAAACAGGTTCACACTGAGCACATGTGACAGACGTGACAGAGTCTGGAGACGCCGTGGAGAACGTTCTGCTGCCTGCAACATCCTCCAGCATGACCAGTTTGGCGGTGGGTCAGTCATGGTGTGGGGTGGCATTTCTTTGGGGGGCCGCACTGCCCTCCATGTCCTCGCCAGAGGTAGCCTGACTGCCATTAGGTACCGAGATGAGATCCTCAGACCCCTTGTGAGACCATATGCTGGTGCGGTTGGCCCTGGGTTCCTCCTAATGCAAGACAATGCTAGACCTCATGTGGATGGAGTGTGTCAGCAGTTCCTGCAAGAGGAAGGCATTGATGCTATGGACTGGCCCGCCCGTTCCCCAGACCTGAATCCAATTGAGCACATCTGGGACATCATGTCTCGCTCCAGTTGGCGGATGCTTTAGTCCAGGTCTGGGAGGAGATCCCTCAGGAGACCATCCGCCACCTCATCAGGAGCATGCCCAGGCATTGTAGGGAGGTCATACAGGCACGTGGAGGCCACACACACTACTGAGCCTCATTTTGACTTGTTTTAAGGACATTACATCAAAGTTGGATCAGCCTGTAGTGTAGTTTTCCACTTTAATTTTGAGGGTGACTCCAAATCCAGACCTCCATGGGTTGATAAATTTGATTTCCATTGATAATTTTTGTGTGATTTTGTTGTCAGCACATTCAACTATGTAAAGAAAAAAGTATTTAATAATATTATTTAATTCATTCAGATCTAGGATGTGTTGTTTAAGTGTTCCCTTAATTTTTTTGAGCAGTGTATATATAATAGATAATAATAATACAGTAAAGAAATACAAATGGAGTAAAGAAAAATATTTACTGGTACTGTATATTCTAACATGATCTTTTTGGTTCTTCCTTCAGCTGGAGTTCGCCTGAGGGGGTGGTTTCCCCGCCGGTGCGTAGAGAAGTGCCATTACGACACAGCAGCAACTAGTGCAATGACCAGTGAGACCAGCAGTGAGGAGAAGAAAGTTAAATAATTTCTGACTTTAAGATTTGCCGTAGAGCAGGGAGCGGTATGACGCTCAATTCCTGGAGGTCTGCAGTGTCTTTGTCTGTCTCCTTGGTAATATATAATACTATATGCCACTTATCAAATTATTTTAATTCATGCAAATTACAGCATAGTGAGTGGATACATGTGTGATGTGTATGTGATCCCTGTGGAAAATGAACCCACAACCTTGGTGTTGCCAGCGCCATGCTCTTACCAACTGAGCCACGGAGTTCTTTGTGTGTCTTTCAATGGGTGAATCTTCATTGTATTTTTGCGCTCTGTGCTATGAAATACTATTGAGACTCACCCCCAGTCACTGATCATCTAGGGAGTTCACACACCTGGGATGTGTTTTAATAGTCCATGACTTGGTAAAGTGACTTTCTCCCTTCGTCTGTACTGATCTGGAAACGTAGGATCGATGAGAGCAATATGGTGAATGCTTATGGACTTCTTTTCTTAATTCACCTGTCAAAATCACATCAGTGCAGATGATGAATAGCAGATAAGAAGATGAAGCCACTTTAGCCTATTGAAATACATCCCTGCTTTCCCAGGTCAAAATCCGATACTAGTTACAAGGAAACATTTTCATTTTAGCAGACACTATTATCCAGAGCGACTAGGGTAAAATGCATTGCTCAAGGGCACTGACTGAGTTTTCACCTAGTCGGCTCGGGGATTCAAACCAGCGACCGTTGGGTTACTGACCCAACGCTCTTAACCGCTAGGATACCTGCCGCCTCCCAAACCTTCACACGCCGCTGGCCTCCAGTAGTTGAGTTTGATACCGCTGCCATAGAAAGAGACAACTATAGTCTTAAACAATTGGGACTTAATTTGTTTAGGAGTTGAGCCTTTTACTTGAATCTGCTGTTTTATAATTTTTCCTGATGTCCTTTGCCAATTATACAATTATGCAAATGCCTCTGCCCAGCTTTAACCCAGGGCTTCGTCATGCAATTTCTTCTCTGTATTTTTCGTACAGCCAAAAGAAAATGCAAACTCTAATTTTGTTTTTTTAAATTGTTCTTATTATTTTTGTAAAACACTGTCACCCTCAAAGTGAATTTAAAAAAAAAGTAAACATGTTCTCCCCTATAATGGCACAGTGTCAGTTATCTTTGTATTTCACACCATCACAAATGATCTTTGTCTTTATTGTGAAACACTTTTATTTTTAGATATATTACTTCTGTGTCGCTTAATGTCTTGGGCCGTAGTGATGCAAACCTTCAGGGCCCCTAATCACAAAGTGTCTCAGTACAGGTCTAGGATCAGGACCGCTCTGTCCATATAATCTTATACATTATGATTTGAAAGACTGATCCTAGATCAAGATGTACTTTATTGTCCATTAACTTACAGAGAATGGAAATGTGTCTGTATGCTCACAACCCAACCACCTGAGACACACATATACCCCGAGGGGATGGAACCGATGAGCCAGCCTTAGTGCAGGGCCCTTGAAGCATTTCTACATCTGCGTTGGGCTCCCGAGTGGCATCTCTGTTGAGGCGTCACTACAGACCCCCTGGTTCGATTCCAGGCTGTATCACAACCAGCCGTGATTGGGAGTCCCATAGCGCGGCGCACAATTGGCCCAGCGTTGTCCGGGTTTGGCCGGTGTAGGCCGTCATTGTAAATAAGAATTTGTTCTTAACTGACTTGCCTAGTAAAATAAATAAAAATTGTTTGTGGTTTTAGGCTGGGTATCTGTATAATTGCTTAGTGACATCTGCTGATGTAAAAAGGGATTTATAAATACATTTTGGGGATAAGTGTCTTGCTCAAGGGCACATAGGCATCTAGGACGATGCCAGCAACCCTTTGGTTGCCAGCTTACTCTGCACCAGATTTTCCTGTCTGAGCTGGGATTCGAACCAGTAACCCTCCAGTTGCTGGTCTGCTTCTCTAACCACAAGCCAGTGGTCGAGATATTGTTGAACTGGTGACCTGGGCCCGTATTCTTAAAGTATCTCAGAGTAGGAGCGCTAGATGGGGTGCCAGGCTTTAGGAATACGGGCCCAGGTCACCACAATGGCATATCTGTTATCAATTCAATTTGCAGAGCTATTTATTATTGGTAAATGGCTAATTTGAGGACCCATAAAAATATAATTTGGTTTCTAGGAATTATATTTCTATGGGAGTACCACCTGCCCTTGAGGTGTATACAGTCACATCATTCTGGACTGAATATAAAAGTAATCATTTAATTCCATGGATTCAATGTGAATGTCATTGAGAAATTCTCATTCCTATCATATTATTTGATGTTACTTTTTCCACTTTTACAATATTTATCTGGTATTTATTAAATGATGTGGTAACAATGGGTACTCTGATAGTGGTGGTGCTTGCTTTAATGAATCCCAAAGAAACAAAAGTAATTACACATTTCCCATGTCATTTCTAACTACCGTAACATGTACAGTATTTATTTACTGAAAGGTCAACAGGAAGTGAAGCTGTTGCCCCTCGGGCCCTCCTTCATCCTCCTTCTGCCCCCTCAGACCAGTCACTGCATGCTATTATAGAGGCTGTCGATCTGCGGCTGGAAGAGCTTCTTGAGGTCGGCCCTCTTGGCCTTCAGCGTAGGAGTGAGAAGGCCATTCTCTACGGTGAACTGCTCTGGATGCATGTACAGGTCTTTCACCTGCAAAACACAGAGAAACAGAGCATTAGGGCACAATGCAAAACGTTTCAAAACATTTCGCAACAGATTCTTTAAGGTAGTCCCTCCCTGTTTCAAACAAATGTTCCTCCAATTGGTACCTGATGAACATGACCCATGTTGCTGGGTCATTCCCACCAGGCAAAAATGGCTTAGTCACTGTGCAAGAACTAAAATAATCCCTGTGTACAGTATTACTGCTCCAACAAGTGAATGTATTGATTACATGGAGACATATGTTTCGAGTTTGGGCCATGAGGGTTTTTGTCCTTTGTCCTTAGTCTCCTCTAGTCTAACCCTACTCTAGCCATAACTGTTTCTGCAACTGAGCTGGTCAACATACAATGTGGCTGTTTGCTTAAACATGTGTAACCAAGACTTCAAACAAAAATGGGCAACAGAGTTTCATGGTTTGGCTATTCTCAAACCAAATTCACAATGACATCAATCATATTTGTCTGCCTTCGCTCAGTAGTGAAAATTCACCACCACCTTTAGCTAGTTCACACAGCAAGTTCACAGCATTGACTGTAGATTTTTTTTGAAATACTGAGAAAATCAGCTCAACACATTTAGGATTAACTGCAGTAAAGAGTATACAGTATGTTTGAAGTGACATGTCGAGTAAAATAAAATTAAGAAGGGAAGGGAGCTTCTGAGTTAATGACAAGACTGCCCTTCAGGGCCTGTATTCATAAAGTGTCTAAGAGTAGGAGTGCTTTTGCATTTTAGATCAGTGGTTCTCAAACCTCTCCTCTGGGACCCCTACACGTTTCACAATTTTGTTGTAGCTTTGAACTAGCTCACCTGATTCCGGTGTGCTAGCTCTGGAATATATCAAATACATGGAACGGCTGGGGGTCCCCGAGGAGAGATTTGAGAACCTCTGTTTTAGATCATAATGAAAAATATTACATGGACGGGGGGACTGATCTTAGATCAGCACACCTACTCTGAGCTTTATGAATGCAGGCCCATGTCTTAATGGGGATTGGTGAAATCATGTTAAATAGACACACTCACCTGTTCGAAAGACTTCAGCCCCGCTTCCCGGCCCAGCTTGACCAGGTCAGAGATAATGGCCTTTTTGATTGTCTGCCGCAGGAAAAAAGGAGAGGTCATACTCAGGTCATCAGTCAGTGGTACAGAAGCTATCCACTTCAATCAGGAGTGCATTGTAAACATGGTCTTGTGAAGTACTTGTAATGTAGTAGCAGTTCTGTGTTCAGTGGTACCCAATGTATGGACAACCATTTATAAAATATATGTATGTCCTTTTTTTTATCTGTGCAAATTTATGAAGAGTATTATAGACAATCACACTTTTGTTTGTTGAATGAATCCAGGGTCATGTTCATTAGGGCACGTAATGGACAGTGTTTTAAAACGTTTTGGAACAGAAAATGAAAATAAGTATTTCTTATTGATTATTATAGATAGTCCATCTCTGTTTCAGTCCATTTTCTTCCATTTTGTGGCTAAGTAATGAACACGACGCTGGTGTGTTCAAATATTCTGATAACGTTATTAGTGGAAAGGTTCTGATAGAGCACTCACTTGGCTTTTGCACAGCTCCTCATGAGAACCCTGGACTCCTAGTTTCTGGGCGAAACCTGGCAGGACCTCTGGGTCAGGAACCACAATGGCTACCAAGCTGGCCTACACACACACACACACACACACACATTCTGTCTAAGTATTGTATGCTTCTGAAATATGAGTGTGCTTGGTGTGTGTGCGTGCATGTGTGTATGTGTTTATGCTGTGTGTGTGTGTTGTACCTGAAGACTGTCTCCATGGACGAACACCTGGGCTACAGGTGCACTGCGGATGTACACGTTCTCTATCTTCTCCGGGGCAATGTACTCTCCCTGAGCCAGCTTGAAGATATTCTTCTTGCGGTCGACAATCTTCAGGACTCCACTCTGCCATCATTTTGATCATTAGTATTTTCAACAAGATATACGGTATTGATTGGGTAATGATGTAATCAATTTGTCAATAGGAAATCACCAAGGAACTAGATTGTATCTTGAGCAAAAGAGTATGTCATCATGATTGCACATATTATATTTTGAGCCTTAAAAACTAAATATTCCTAGAGGACAGGGGTAGTCCCCCTGTAGCACAGTTGGTAGAGCATGGCGCTTGCAAGGCCAGGGTTGTGGGTTTGTTTCCCACAGGGGGCCAGTATGAAAATATATGCACTCACTAACTGTAAGTCGCTATGGATAAGAGCGTCTGCTAAATTACTAAAATGTAAAAAATTGATATAAGTATAGAGAGAATGAGAAAAGAGAATTACTAAGTTATGTAAAAGTGTGTGTGCATATGTATGTGTGTTTACCAGAGGAGGCTGGTAGGAGGAGCAATAGGAGAACGGACTCATTGTAATAGCTGTAATGGAATATATGCATTGGAGTCAAACATATGGAAACCACATGTTTGACTCCATTCCATTAATTCCAGTTATTACAATGAGCCTGTTCTCCTATAGCTCCTACCACCAGCATCACATGGTAAACGGACATACACTACCAGTCAAAAGATTGGACACATCGACTCATTCAAAGGTTTTTCTTTATTTTTACAATTTTTTGCATTGTAGAATAATAGTGAAGACATCAAAACTATGAAATAACACATATGGAGTCACGTAGTAACCAAAAAATATGTTATATTTGAGATTCTTCAAATAGCCACCCTTTGCCTTGATGACATCTTTGCACACTCTTGGCATTCTCTCAACCAGCTTCATTGGGTAGTCATCTGGAATGCATTTCAATTAACAGGTGTGCCTTGTTAAAAGTTAATTTGTGGAGATTCTTTCCTTCTTAATGTGTTTGAGCCAATCAGTTTTGTTGTGACAAGGTAGGTATACAGAAGATAGCCCTATTTGGTAAAAGACCAAGTCCATATTATGGCAAGAACAGCTCAAATAAGCAAAGAGAAACGACAGTCCATCATTACTTTAAGACATGAAGGTCAGTCAATACGGAACATTTCAAGAACTTTTAAAGTTTATTTTAAGTGCAGTCGCAAAAACCATACGAATGGAAGACCACAGGAATGGAAGACCCAGAGTCTGCTGCAGAGGATAAATTCATTAAAGTTACCAGCCTCAGAAATTGCAGCCCAAATAAATGCTTCACAGAGTTCAATTCACAGACACATCTCAACATCAACTGTTCAGAGAGGACTGTGTGAATCAGGCCTTCATGGTCGAATTGCTGCAAAGAATCCACTACTAAAGGACACCAATAAGAAGAAGAGACCGGTGGAGCAATGGACATTAGACCGGTGGAAATGTGTCCTTTTGTCTGGAGTCCAAATTTGAGATTTTTGCTTCCAAATGCTGTGTCTTTCTGAGACGCGGTGTGGGTGAACGGATGATCTCCTCATGTGTAGTTCCCACCGTAAAGCATGGAGGAGGAGGTGTTATGGTTTGGGGTTGCTTTGCTTTGCTGGTGACACTGTCAGTGATTTAGAATTCAAGGCACACGTAACCAGCATGGCTACCACAGCATTCTGCAGCGATACGCCATCCCATCTGGTTTGGGCTTACTGGGACTATCATTTGTTTTTCAACAGGACAATGACCCAACACACCTCCAGGCTGTGTAAGGGCTATTTTACCAAGAAGGAGAGTGATGGAGTGCTGCATCAGATGACCTGGCCTCCACAATCCCCCGACCTCAACCCAATTGAGATGGTTTGGGATGAGTAGGATGGCAGAGTGAAGGAAAAGCAGCCAACAAGTGCTCAGCATATGTGGGAACTCCTTCAAGACTGTTGGAAAAGCATTCCAGGTGAAGCTGGTTGAGAGAATGCCAAGAGTGTGCAAAGCTGTCATCAAGTGGCTATTTGAAGAATCTCAAATATAACATATTTTGATTTGTTTAACACTTTTTGGTTACTACATGATTCCATATGTGTTATTTCTTAGTTTTGATGTCTTCACTATTATTCTACAATGTAGAAAATAGTAAATAATAAAGAAAAACCCTGGAATGAGTAGGTGAGTCCAAACTTTTGACTGGTACTGTACATATGCACGCACACACACACACACACACACACATATACACACACACAAACACACACACACACACACACACACGCTTGTGTAATTACTGAAACCTAAGAGCAAGCTTAGACTGGTCCATAATGGACATGCCATCTGTCTATGTTGAGAAAGAAAGGGTCCCCTGGAGAAATTAAAAAAGGGCCTACATAATGACAGAGCGAATCAATTAACTCAATTACCTTTATCTTGCTCTCCCCCCCTCTTGCTCTCCCCCCTTTCTCTCATTCACTCACTCACTCTCTCTCTCTCGCTCAATTACTCTCTCTCTCCCCCCTCTCCCCTCCTTTTCTCAGATAATGAACATCCCATGTTGAGGCTGGTGAAGCCACAGAGTGCAGAGGGAGAGATCATTAACTAGGCTGATGGCCTTCAGGGGTTAGGACAGGTCCAACCTCTGACATCTGTGACATCTGTGACACAGCCCTCACAGGTGAGTGGCATGCCTGTGTGAATTCATTTAATACCGACTCTGGACCTATGTCAAGTCATGCAGCATTCATGTGCTAACCAGAATTTGGAAACTCACTATCCAACTGGGAAACTGAGTCTCCCACTCGTATTTCCCACTTGGAAGCGTGGGAGTTATGACACGTTTGGGCGCTTTACATCAGTTTATTTGTGCCAAGTCTCAGAGTTTCCTTTCATTTCAATAGCACATGAATGCAGCATCATTCACAGTTCTATATGGGCCCGATTCTGACTTAGGAAATTAGCCTTTCTTATGCACACCTTTCCTACGCACTTCTCAGTAGTTGGTATTCAGACTTACCTTATGAAGGTGCATAACGGACTTTGCAGGAGTGGTTCCCTGGCGCGCGCTCAATTAATGTAATTCAACCACTGAAAACACTCCTACTTGCTGGCCAGCAGATTTTCTCATGGATTTTTCAATTCAGTACATTTGTCTTAAGCCATCCCTTTAAATATGCTGTAGTTTTTAGTTAGAATTTTGTTGACCATAGCGAGAGAATGGGTTCAGAATATTAGGGATCAATGAAAGAAAGCCATCTAAATATATGCATATTTGTCAGTTTCAGCACCAACTGGTAGATTTTAAAATACTCTGAAACTAATAAAGGAAAATATATTAAAATATATACATATACACTACCATTCAAAAGTTTGGACACAACTACTCATTCAAGGGTTTTTCTTTATTTTTACAATTTGTTACATTATAGAATAATAGTGAAGACATCAAAACTATGAAATAACACATATGGAATCATGTACTAACCAAAAAAGTGTTAAGCAAATCAAAATATATTTTATATTTGAGATTCTTCAAATAGCCACCCTTTGCCTTGATGACAGCTTTGCACAATAGGAAGGGAGGAGCAAAATGGAGTCGTGGTCAGATTTGCCGAAAGGATGGCGGGGCCTTGTAGGCATCCCGAAAGTTGGAGTAGCAGTGGTCAAGTGTTTTTGCAGCGCTAGTACTACAGTCAATGTATTGATAGAACTTTGGCAGCCTTTTCCTCAAATTTGCTTTGTTAAAATCCCCAGCTACAATCAATGCAGCCTCAGGATATGTGGAGTGGCGCAGGAGGATGCACTCATCACGATGGCCATCCTCCTGGATAACCTCCTTTGGGAGCGTCGGCACTCCCGTCGCCTCTCTCCCTCCTTCGTTGACCGATCTGAGTTAGAGCCTGAACCCATGGTGGTAGGGGCCACACGCCTCCCCACGGCTGAGCAACGCCGTCGGAGACAGCTGGGGCTCTGTCCCTATTGTGGCCAGGAGGGACACCAGCTTCAACGGTGTCCGCTATGTACTAACCCGAGAGTCACTAGAGCAGAGGGACGGTCCAGTGATCATCCGTCTCCTGGGGTAGGTGTGAGTATTCCATCATCTTCACTCTCCAACAAACCCTTTTTAGTACCGATTTCACTAGCTGGCTGTCCCTCATGTGTTGTTTCCACAGCTCTAGTGGACTCCAGTGCCGCGGGGAATTTTATTGACCAGGCCCTTGCCTCCTCCCTGAACATAACATCATACCCGCTCTCCTTTCCGTTTCCGGTTCAAGGGCTGGATAACCGACCACTGGGATCTGGCACATTCACACACATCACAGCACCACTCACCGTCACCGTGGGACCCCTGCACCATCATCCAGGCACCCGTACACAAAGTCATCCTCACCCTCCCGTGGTTCCAATGCCACGACCCCATCATCTCCTGGCCGAGGATGGAGATTACGGCCTGGGCACCCTAATGCCGGAAGACCTGCTTTCCCTTACCATGTGGTTCCATGTCAGTTGAGAGTCCTGTGGTTGCCCTCCAGGCCGACATCCCAGAGGTTTACCGGGATCTCCGGGGAGATTTTCTCCAAGACTCGCGCTACCTGTCTCCCTCCTCATCGCCCCTGGGACTGTGCCAACAACCTGCTAACAGACTCTGCGCCTCCACACAGCCGCATCAACCCCCATGTCGGTGGCTGAAACCAAGGCTATGGAGGAGTACATCCAGGAGGCTCGCCAACAGGGTTTCATCCGCCCATCCACCTCCTCTGTGTCGACTCGTTTCTTCTTCATGGCCAAGAATGAGGGGGTCTTCGTCCGTGTATTTACTACAGAGGTCTGAATGCCATCACCACAAAGTACCGCTACCCCCTCTCGTTGGTGCCAGCCGCCATTGAACAGCTCCGCGGGGCCCAGTTTTTCTACCAAGCTGGACCTGCGGAGTGCCTACAATTTGATCTGCATCCGGGAGGTAACCATCTGTAAGTCAAGGCGGAGAAGTGCCAGTTCCATCAGGTCACCGTCTCCTTCTTGGGATATCGGATCAGCCCACAGGGAGTGGTTATGGAGGAAAGGAAGGTAGATGCGGTCAGGTTATGGCCAGTCCCAACCATCATAAAGGGACTACAACGTTTTTTGGGGTTTGCCAACTTTTACCACCGCTTCATCAGGAACTTCAGCTCCATCACCTCTCCTCTCACCTCTCTCCTTGAAGGTGGTCTCCGTAAGTTGCAATGGAATCCTGCAGCTGATGAGGCCTTCCACCTGCTGAAGGGGCGTTTCACCTCCACCCCGTTGCTGAAACATCCAGACCCTACGCTGCCCTTCGTGGTGGAGGTGGATGCCTCAGAGGTGGGCGTGGAGGCCGTCCTGTCACAACGTCAAGGTAATCCACAAAACTGTATCCATGTGCATATTACTCTAGAAAAGAGTCCCCTGCAGAGAGGAACTATGACGTCGGTGATCGGGAGCTCTTGGTGGTGAAGTTGGCATTAGAGGAGTGGAGACAGTGGCTGGAGGGTGCCACGGACCCGTTTCTCATCCTCACCGACCATCGGAACTTGGAATATATACGGACAGCGAGGCGGCTGAACCCGCGCCAAGCAAGGTGGGCCCTTTTCTTTACTAGATTCAATTTCACCTTGTCATTCCACCCAGGTTCAAAGAACATCAAAGCCGATGCCCTGTCCTGTCTCCACGATTCAGGAGAGGTCCCTGTCCTGAGTGGGTCCATCATACCGCCCTCCCAAATCGTTGCTCCCGTACTCTGGGACATAGACGTGGACATCCGCAAGGCTCTGTAGAGGGAAATCCGCACCGGCTACCTGTCCTCCGGAGCGCACCTACATTCCCACGGCTTTTGAACTGGGTGCACACATCCCTTGCCGCTGGACACCCAGGTATCACCCGCACCACTCAATCCATCTCTGTTAAGTACTGGTGGCCCACTTTGGCGCAGGACGTTGCCTGCTACATCAACTCCTGCTCCGTATGTGCCCAAACCAAGTCTCCCCCGGAACGCTCCTGCAGGGAAACTCCTTCCCCTCCCCGTGCCTCAGCGACCTTGGACCCATCTGTCGATAGATTTTGTCACTGATCTTCCCCTGTCTGATGGTTTCCCCACTGTTATGGTTGTTGTGGACAGATTCTCAAAATCCTGCCGTTTTATCCCTCTCTCTAGTCTCCCTACCACTCTCCAGGTCACTTCTGGCACAATGGCCTTCCGGAGGATATCGTCTCCGATTGTGGCCCCAAATCACATCGCGTGTATGGAGGGCTTTCATGGAGATGCTGGGGGTCACGGTCAGCCTCACTTCCGGATACCAGCCTCAATCTAACTGGCAGGTGGAGAGGATGAACCAGGAGCTGGGAAGTTTCCTGAGGAGTCACTGCCAGGACCGGCAGGGGGAATGGGCCCGATTCCTTCCTTTGGCTGAATACGCCCAGAATTCATTGCGACACTCCTCCACCAGCCTGACTCCTTTCAGTGTGTTCTGGGTTATCAGCCGGCTCTTACTCCGTTGACTCCGAGCCAGACCGAAACTCCTGCGGTGGACGAGTGGTTCAGGCGCGCAGAAGAGGTATGGAACGATGCCCAGCGCGCCATCCGCTGTCAGAAAGAGCAGGCGGATCGCCACCGCAGTGAGGCTCCCGTGTTCCATCCTGGTGATTGTGTCTGACTCTCCACCAGGAACCTCCCACTCCGCCTGCCCTGTAAGAAGCTGAGTCCCCAGTTTGTGGGGCCATTCAAGGTCCTCCGGAAGGTCAACGAGGTAACATACAGAATACAACTCCCCATTAACTACCGGATCTCACCATCTTTTCATGTTTCCCTCCTCAGGCCGGTGGTTTCTGGTCCCCTGGCTAATGCCGTACCCCACGACACCCCTCTGCCTCCCTTGGACATTGAGGGGAGCCCCGCCTATACGTCAGATCACCCCTGGACTCCCGACGTTGTGGGGGTTGGCTCCAGTACCTGGTGGACTGGGAGAGGTATGGTCCAGAGGAGCGTGCTGTTTTCCAGTGGACGACATTCTAGATCCCAACATCATCCGAAAATTCCACCTTCGCCGTCTGGACCGGCCCGCTCCTCACCCTCGGGACCGTCCTCCTGGCCAGCGTCGTCCTGCGGCTGGAGCCATGCGTCGGGGGGTACTGTCACGTCTACTCCCGCTCCCCCTCTCTGGCGCGCGACGTCGCCAGTCTACTAACCACCGGTCCTGGCAACCCATCATTACACACACCTGGCAACCCTCATTACGCACACCTGCGCCCCATTATGAGGCACACCTGGACTCCATCACTACCCTGATTACTTCCCCTTTATCTAGCATTCCTTTGTTATCACCCACCAGGCACTATTGTTTATGTTTTCCATGTTAGACGCTTCCCTTGTTTTGTATCGTTCCATGTTCTTCATAATTCAATTCACTAACTGCACTTGCTTCCTGACTCCCTGCGTCTACATTACAAAGCCGTAACAGTTTGAACCCGATCCATGGCGCAATACTTGGCTGTGTCATCACACAGTTCCATGGTTAGTGCATGCAATAGATGCGGGTACAGCCTACTATTGTACAAAATCAGTATTCTTTTAATCTACCAATTGGTGCTGAAACGGAGACGAATATGCATATAATTAGATGGCTTTCTTTCATTGATCCCTAATATTCTGAACTTGTTCTCTCAGTATATTCTACTGAGTCTGTCAACTAAATTCTAACTAAAAGGTACAGCGTATTTAAAGGGATGGCTTAAGATAAATGTACTGAAATGAAAAATCCATGAGAAAATCTGTTGGCCAGAAAGTGGGAGGGTTGTCAGTGGTTGAATTACATTTATTCAGCGCACGCAAGGGAACCACGCCTGCAAAGCCCATTACGCACCTTCATAAGGTAAGTCTGAACACCAAGAAGTGCATAGGCAAGGTGCAGTTTTTCTTAAGTCGGAATCGGGACCAAAACGAATAGCAAGTGAATAGCACACTATTCTCATGCTTAAGTTCAAGGTTAGAATACTCATAGAGAGAAGTGCATAAAAGGGAAATTACAGTACGTTCCATTTACGCGCTTAACTCCCGTCGGAATTGGGCCCTATTGTCAGCCTGCAAAGCCAGTTGTCCTGCTTGCAAATTATAATGGCATAGTCTTGGGGTCTCATTTATAATGTTCTTACACACAGATTTGATTCTACAATTGTGTCTATTTCCATGTTGTGGTTTATAACCATTGAACTTGACATAAAAATGTGCATTTTTGTTCTATTTTTAAATGCATTTAGACATTTTTGTAACTGAAATGTACTATATAAACTGTGTACATTTTATAAATCAAGACACTGTATGACCCTGTACAACTACTGCAATAAAATGACCCTGCTGATGATATGATGTAGACTCCAGTATAGAAATAGTGAAACCTTGAATCAGGTAATTAAATTCAGATCAATTACCTCCGGTAATGGTAATCAGCACTGCCCTTTGTCCTGCTTGTAATAATCGAATAGGTGGGTTTAGAAAGTATAACTATGCTTGCGGGTGATACACAACCCCAGTATTTCACCCCACTGATTGCTTGTCTGGCTTCGAATTGAATGAACAGGAGAGAGCTGGAAAACTATTCTATCCGGTCCTGATATTAAACTCCTCTACCACTGTCATGGAAATTGATGTCAGATTGATTCTATGCTTAGATAAATGCAGAAGGTTATTTCAAGGTTCAGTTTGTATTTATGAGAATCTCACCGGTAGCCATTTGCCAATGTCTCCAGTGTGTAGCCATCCATCTTTGTCCAGGGCCTCTGCTGTCTTCTCAGGGTCTTTCAGATAGCCTATGAACACGTTTTTACCTTTGATACAGACCTGAGAGAATAGAACAGTATGCATCAGTAAGGGAAATGTTCTCCTTGTGTTCTAAGTAGGGCCAGGGAGTTGTTCCGGACCATGTTACCTTACCAGGAAAAACTCCAGGTCCTAGTTCTAAGGTAGGCAAGCCATAGCAACCAATGTTAAGCTATGAGATAGTTTAATTTCTTTAAGTTAAAGCCGCAGAATGCAGAAATCACTCCACCATTGACTGGATGCTAAAATTCTAAAATGTTTGCATAATTTCATAATTTGTTTATGTGACAAAACAAGCAATGTATAGTGTAGAGAATCATTGTACCATCTAAACTGCTTTGAAATATATTTTCCATAACCAAAACTATCTTATCAGTTGTTTGAAGCTGGTGTACAAAACTGAAAGTAGAAAGAAGCAACATTTGAACTTAAGGACAGTAAGCAAAGACATAGTGCACATAGAACAGATCTACCGCTTTTCAGACTTGCTTTCATCGAGAAGGACAGATCTATAACTCACATGTCTATGTGAATTTGGTCGGGTCGCCCACAAAGCTACATATTGTGACTTTAAGCTAATTTTCTACAAATTAAAAAGTATGGGGAAATCGGGGAAAGACAGAGCCTTGGGGCGCCCTTCCATGTCCAACCCCCCCACCCCCATGCTTCTGAATGACCCCTAATGTAAACAATCTGTTTCCACTAGCATTGCTGCATTCTTCAAAAATGATAGCCAGATTAATCAGGACATTACTAAATAACTAGCCTACTTTTTTATGGTTTGAAGAAAACAACAACACCCCAGGGAAGTCGAGAAATAAGCTGTTAAAAGTCATTCAAATCTTAGAAAAATAGTAGTTTTTCCATACAATGCAGCATGGCTAGGTAGGGACAACCACTTACCTCCCCTTCACCGTTGGAAGCAAAGTAGTTCATCTCTTCAACATCAACCAGTTTCACAATGTTACAAGGTATAGGAGCTCCAACATGCCCTGAGGAAAGAAACCCTTGTTTTGTAATTTGGGTGAATATATAAGGTCCCTCCGCTCAAACCTGCTTCCCCAATGCATTTTGAGAAGGAAGTAAGAAGAAAGGATGCAAGTGTTCTCAACTTAAAGGGATAGTTCAACCAAATTACAAAATTACATTGCGGTTGGTAAAAGTGGCTAGGTAAACAAACACAAAGCATGGATTGCAGTCTCTCCTTGTCCATAGACTGCTTTTAGGGTAAGGAAACAAAAAACTTGACATTTGGGTGAACTATCCCTTTAATTTAGCATCCTCTGTGAGGTTGTAAATATTTGTAGTGACATACCAGAAGTGGCGTCTCCTGGCATGGTGAAGGAGCAGGCAGCAGTACACTCTGTTTGGCCGTACGCCTCAAAAATCTGGAGAACCAATCAGAACAGCGAGATCAGTAGGGTCAGTGTGAGCTGGTTGTCACAGCAACATGGACAGATCAATACATTTGCGGTAATCTCTGCTCTCCAAACAAAAGCACATGGCCTCAGTTGCTCAGTGCTATTACAAGATCCACAATGGCACAGGATTGGTTTAATTATATAATAATTACCATCTTATGGTCTTTACAGAAAATAAAATGAAAGTCGCACACTATTCTCTCCTTGCCAAAACGTTGGTGATATTGAAAGTTAATTTCAAGGTGTGCAACAGTGATTTTATTTTACATGTTTATCTTCAACTGTGATTTTATTTTACAAGTTTATCTTCGGTTGGTCAGGATATGTTCTTTTTTCATTTACACCTTATAATACGGTCTTGTTATTATTCAAAGTGACCTACCTCAGCATGTTTCTTCAGTAGATATGACCCATATATGTAGGAATCAAACTTACAACTCAGGTATTGTAAACACCTTCCAGTGGCATATGTGTGATGTTTGAAGCATCCATTCAACTGCTTTCTAGGTATATTTGATATGAGTCATGACCTGTTTTGACAAGTTCTCCTTAATACAGTAATATAATCATTGACGGAGGTGTCTCACAAAAGAGTTATGGAAACACATACATCCTGTTCACACTGCACTTCAATCACAATCACAGAGCTTCATTGTCATCTAATTGGAATATTCTACTCCAAAAAGTGACTATTGGGTTTCAGTTAGCCCAGGGTTAACACATGCTTGTGTAAAAGGAGGGTAAGCTAGGGTAAAGGATAGACATGGGCCAAGAACATGCAGTGTGAAAAGCCCTTTTGAATGGTAGAATAAAATGAATGGGTAGACGGTAGATCTATGGTAGATAATAGATGGGTAGATGATGCTAATGTACCTGACACCCCAGAGATGCCCGGAGGAAGTTGAGAACGGAAGGAGAGATGGGCGCTGCTCCCGTCACCATCACTCGCACACGTCCCCCCAACGACTCCTACAGAGAACCGACACGACACGTTCTAGATTGTAGCGCATTCTGTACCATAACACCCTCCCAATTCACAGCCACTGTCTTGTGCAGTGTAACATGATTTTTCTCTTCTGTTGCCTTTTTAGGCACAGGAAACGGTTTATATGTAGCCTCCAAGGATTGTTGGCACAACATCGGCAATAGCATTGTTGACTTCCTTGAACACGATGACTCCTACTTGGAGAGTGCCATACCTGAACTTTGTGGAAGATGAGCTTGTCCCATATACTGTCTTTTCTGATGACACCCTCCTTAACTTCGGCAAGCTTTCTGTTAGTGGCAAAATTCAGAAGCCATTTTTTGAAGGGGGTTTGGGCTCCACTTTGGACCTATAGTAGAAAGAGAAAGGTTACTCATTTTGGTCTCATATAGATAGTCCTCTTTGGTAGTTTTGGTATTTTATTAGGATCCCCATTAGCTTATTCAAAAGCAGCAGCTACTCTTCCTAGGGTCCACACAAAACATGAAACATGACATAATACAGAACATGAATAGACAAGAACAGCTCAAGGACAGAACTACATACATTTTGAATGGTCTATAGATGTTCAAACTGTCCATTGCAGCTATCAACTGTAACTCTGTAACTGTAACTTTGTAACTCTGTTGACATGCAACAATTTGCTGGGAGTTAGGTTTAGGTAAAGCGTTGAGATTAGCGGTGGGGTTAGTGTACAGTATGAGTGCACACTTCAGGAGAAGAACCGCAGATTAACAACTCACTTTGTCATATACGCGGTTCAGAAGTCGCGGCACCACGGGGAAGATGGTGGGCTGCAGGTTCTTCATGTCGTCTGGCAGTAGTTTAATGTCGCCTTGAAAGAATCCGACCCTGGCCCCAGCACCGTACATCACTGTCTGGGAGAGAACACAAGCACTTCTAGACTAGCACCCATCAGCCTCAATACTCAACTCAGAGAACTCTATGTCCTCTGCTCCCATTGGTGAAAAATGTAAGAGATAAATGTCACTTGTCAATAGAAAACATATTTTTTGAAACAAGAAAGAAGAATTTGTTCCTCATTGACTTGCCTGGATAAATACTAAATAAATAAATAGTAAAAAGTAAATATTTGTCATAAAGTATTTGCCATGTATGCATGCTAAAGAGTCGTACTAGCTGGAGGTGCTCAAAGATAAGGTTGAGTTAATGTAAAAAAATTCAAGACTAGTTTGCAGTTAGACTGTGAACTCACCTGTACAACCCTCTCAAACATGTGTGCCAGAGGCAGGAAGGAGATGGACACATCCTGAGTACTAGGAACCACGGAAATCTGTGGGGGACACAAGTTGGTTCCGAAGGTTATGATTACTGACTACAAATGACTACAAATCTCGGCAACCCAGAACCAAATCACGTGTGAATGCTTGCCTCTTTTTTCACCTTTCACAAGAGACTACAATATTATAAGATCTCTCTCCTTCTCTTTTTCTCCCTCACACATATGCAACCCCACACACACGCAAGCACACACGCAAGCACACACGCACACACACACTCTTGCGCAGCTAACCTTGTGGGGATATACAATTTAGTCCCATTCAAAATCCTATTTTCCCTAACCCCTAACCCTAACTCGAACCCGTACCCTTACCCTAACCCTAAACCTAACCCTAACTCCTAACCCTAAAACGAACCCTATCTCCTAACCATAAACCTAATTCTAACCCTAATACTAATTCTAACCTTAACCCTAAACCCCCTAGAAATAGCATTTGACCTTGTGGGGACCAACAAAATGTCCCCAGTTGGTCAAATTGTTATTAGTTTACTATTCTTGTGGGAACTTCTGGTCCCCACAAGTATAGTTAAACACGTCCACACACACATGAGGATAAAATCACAGTGATCCTATTAAATTACTACAGTGAGCTCCAAAAGTATTGGGTCAGTGAATCTTTTACAGTGGGGAAAAAAAGTATTTAGTCAAAATCAAATCAAATTTTATTGGTCACATGCGCCGAATACAACAGGTGCAGACATTACAGTGAAATGCTTACTTACAGCCCTTAACCAACAGTGCATTTATTTTAAACAAAAAAGTAAGAATAAAACAACAACAAAAAAGTGTTGAGAAAAAAAAAAAAGAGCAGAAGTAAAAAATAAAGTGACAGTAGGGAGGCTATATATACAATAGAATAAAGTGACAGTAGGGAGGCTATATATACAGGGGGGTACCGTTGCATAGTCAATGTGCGGGGGCACCGGCTAGTTGAGGTAATATGTACATGTGGGTAGAGTTAAAGTGACTATGCATAAATACTTAACAGAGTAGCAGCAGCGTAAAAAGGATGGGGTGGGGGGGCAGTGCAAATAGTCCGGGTAGCCATGATTAGCTGTTCAGGAGTCTTATGGCTTGGGGGTAGAAGCTGTTGAGAAGTCTTTTGGACCTAGACTTGGCACTCTGGTACCGCTTGCCGTGCGGTAGCAGAGAGAACAGTCTATGACTAGGGTGACTGGAGTCTTTGACAATTTTGAGGGCCTTCCTCTGACACCGCCTGGTATAGAGGTCCTGGATGGCAGGGAGCTTTGCCCCAGTGATGTACTGGGCCGTACGCACTACCCTCTGTAGTGCCTTGCGGTCAGAGGCCAAGCAGTTGCCATACCAGGCGGTGATGCAACCAGTCAGGATGCTCTCGATGGTGCAGCTGTAGAATTTTTTGAGGATCTGAGGACCCATGCCAAATCTTTTTAGTCTCCTGAGGGGGAATAGGCTTTGTCGTGCCCTCTTCACGACTGTCTTGGTGTGTTTGGACCATGATAGTTCGTTGGTGATGTGGACACCAAGGAACTTGAAGCTCTCAACCTGTTCCACTACAGCCCCGTCGATGAGAATGGGGGCGTGCTCAGTCCTCTTTTTTTTCCTGTAGTCAGCCACCAATTGTGCAAGTTCTCCCACTTAAAAAGATGAGAGAGGCCTGTAATTTTCATCATAGGTACACGTCAACTATGACAGACAAATTGAGGAAAAAAAATCCAGAAAATCACATTGTAGGATTTTTAATGAATTTATTTGCAGATTATGGTGGAAAATAAGTATTTGGTCACCTAAAAACAAGCAGATTTCTGGCTCTCACAGACCTGTAAATTCTTCTTTAAGAGGCTCCTCTGTCCTCCACTCGTTACCTGTATTAATGGCACCTGTTTGAACTTGTTATCAGTATAAAAGACACCTGTCCACAACCTCAAACAGTCACACTCCAAACCCCACTATGGCCAAGACCAAAGAGCTGTCAAAGGACACCAGAAACAAAATTGTAGACCTGCACCAGGCTGGGAAGACTGAATCTGCAATAGGTAAGCAGCTTGGTTTGAAGAAATCAACTGTGGGAGCAATTATTAGGAAATGGAAGACATAAAAGACCATTGATAATCTCCCTCGATCTGGGGCTCCACGCAAGATCTCACCCCGTGGGGTCAAAATGATCACAAGAACGGTGAGCAAAAATCCCAGAACCACACGGGGGGACCTACTGAATGACCGGCAGAGAGATGGGACCAAAGTAACAAAGCCTACCATCAGTAACACACTACGCCGTCAGGGACTCAAATCCTGCAGTGCCAGACGTGTCCCCCTGCTTAAGCCAGTACATGTCCAGGCCCGTCTGAAGTTTGCTAGAGTGCATTTGGATGATCCAGAAGAGGATTGGGAGAATGTCATATGGTCAGATGAAACCAAAATATAACTTTTTGGTAAAAACTCAACTCGTCGTGTTTGGAGGACAAAGAATGCTGAGTTGCATCCAAAGAACACCATACCTACTGTGAAGCATGGGGGTGGAAACATCATGCTTTGGGGCTGTTTTTCTGCAAAGGGACCAGGACGACTGATCCGTGTAAAGGAAAGAATGAATGGGGCCATGTATCGTGAGATTTTGAGTGAAAACCTCCTTCCATCAGCAAGGGCATTGAAGATGAAACGTGGCTGGGTCTTTCAGCATGACAATGATCCCAAACACACCGCCCGGGCAACGAAGGAGTGGCTTCGTAAGAAGCATTTCAAGGTCCTGGAGTGGCCTAGCCAGTCTCCAGATCTCAACCCCATAGGAAATCTTTGGAGGGAGTTGAAAGTCCGTGTTGCCCAGCGACAGCCCCAAATCATCACTGCTCTAGAGGAGATCTGCATGGAGGAATGGGCCAAAATACCAGCAACAGTGTGTGAAAACCTTATGAAGACTTACAGAAAACGTTTGAACTGTGTCATTGCCAACAAAGGGTATATAACAAAGTATTGAGAAACTTTTGTTATTGACCAAATACTTATTTTCCACCATAATTTGCAAATAAATTCATTAAAAATGATTTTTCTCATTTTGTCTGTCATAGTTGACGTGTACCTATGATGAAAATTACAGGCCTCTCTCATCTTTTTAAGTGGGAGAACTTGCACAATTGGTGGCTGACTAAATACTTTTTTTCCCCACTATAGTTTTTTTGTGCACAAATTGGTTTAAATCCCTGTTTGTGAGCATTTCTCCTTTGCCAAGATAATCCATCCACCTGACAGGTGTGGCATATCAAGAAGCTGATTAAACAGCAAGATCATTACACAGGTGCACCTTGTGCTGGGGACAATAAAAGGCCACTCTAAAATGTGCAGTTTTGTCACACAATGCCACAGATGTCTCAAGTTTTGAGGGAGCGTGCAATTGGCATGCTGACTGCAGGAATGTCCACCAGAGCTGTTGCCAGACAATTTAATGTTAATTTCTCTACCATAAGCTGCCTCAAATGTCGTTTTAGAGAATTTGCATTATGTCCAACTGGCCTCACAACCGCAGACCACGTTTAACCATGCCAGCCCAGGACCTCCACATCCGGCTTCTTCAACTGCGTGATCGTCTGAGACCAGACACCCTGACAGCTGATAAAACTGATGAGTATTTCTGTCTGTAATGAAGCCCTTTTGTGGGGAAAAACTCATTCTGATTGGCTGGGCCTGGCTCCCCTATGCCTTCCCAGGCCCACCCATGGCTGTGCCCCTGCCCAGTCATGTGAAATCTATAGATTAGGGCCTAATTAATTTATTACAGTTGACTGATTTCCTTATATGAACTGTAACTCAGTAAAATCTTTGAAATTGTTGCATTGCGTTTATATTTTTGTTCAGTATAACATTGTTTATTTTATTATTTTCCCCTAACCCTATCACCCCTCCCCTAATTGGAGTAAACTAATGGACAACAACATTTAGGCTTCTACTTCCAGCTCATACATACTATATACATTTTACGGACACAGTATATTTTACAATAGTTATCTTTTGTTTGTTTTTAGTCCCATGCTTCAGCTACCCTCAACCCCTCCCATCTATCTCTGAAGACCATCCAGTTTTGATTTCTATTTGTCATATATCTTTCAACTGTGCTGTTTCACAAAAGTTCTGAACCTATATACATTTTGCAGACACAGTATATTTTACATTAGTTATCTTGTTATTTTTAGTCCCACCCTTCAGCTCTACTCAACCCCTCCCATCTCTCTCTAAACACCATCCCGTTTTGATTTCTATTTGCCATATATTTTTCAACTGTTCTGTGATGTTTCACAAACGTTCTGAACCTTTTCAATCACCCAGCAGTGCTATCTGCAGAGTTAGCTCCAGGTAAATGTTGCAATTCTTCTGCCATTCCTGAACCTGAGACCAAAAACAAGCTACATATGGACAGTACCAACATAAATGATCTAATAATTCTGTCACTTCACAGCAACATCTGCAGGGCTGGGATGGTTGTATCCCCCATATATATAACATTATATTTGTTGCAAGAATGTTTGAATCCGGCGTTGTTTTGTGTATCAGTTCATAAACCATGTGCCATAGAATCGGTACATCGAAAATCTCTTCCCAACTATTTTGCAATCTGTATGGCACAGCTGTCCATTTTTTGGTCGTTAAATGAAACTGGTATACTTTTTTATTTATCACAATTTTCTTTAACCAATTTTGGTTAATGCAGGGCAAGTTCCTTACTTTCTCCCAATATTTGTTGTAATATTTGTTCTGTCTTTTCTGATGGATTAAACTGAAATTGCAACAAACTTTATATGGTTTGTTTTTAAAATAGCAATATTTTGGAGATTATTTCATTTTAAAATATCCGAAAGTGAGAGGTTGTAATCTGAATAAAGGGAAAAAGGCCATTCTTGCATTCTTGAACATGGGGTGAGACATTCTTACTAATCTGCTAGAAAACCAGTTCAGATTTAAGTATAACTTTTGTATGACTGAAGCCTTTAGTGAAAAGTCTAATGCTTCAATATTTAATTATTTCTGCCCTCTGAATTAATATTCATTAAATAAATTGGCCCATTAAAATTTGTCTGGCTTGCCGTTCCAAATAAAATGGAATATTTTTTGCTCAAATAATTTAAAAAACAAGTCGCTAGGTGTAGGCAAGGCCATAAGCAAATAGGTAAACTGGGATATGACTAAAGAGTCAGGGTGGTTTTTCCACAAATAGACAGGTATTTTCCTTTCCATGATAGCAAGATCTTATCTATTTTTGCTAACTTTCTATTAAAATGTATTGTATTGAGATCATTTATTTCTTTCGGTATATGAATAACGAGTATGTCCACTTCACCATCAGACCATTTTATTGGTAAACTACATGGTAATGTAGTCCTGAGTGGCGCAGTGGTCTAAGGCACTGCATCGCAGTGCTAACTGTGCCACTAGAGATCCTGGTTCGAATCCAGGCTCTGTCGCAGCCGGCCGCGACCAGGAGACTCATGGGCTGCGCACAATTGGCCCAGCGTCGTCCAGGGTAGGGGAGGGAATGGCCGGCAGGGATGTAGCTCAGTTGATAGAGCATGGCGTTTGATTTCCACGGGGGGCCAGTATAAAAAAAAACAAATGTATTCACTAACTGTAAGTCGCTCTGGATAAGAGCGTCTGCTAAATGACTAAAATGTAAAAATTTAAAATGTAATGTAAAAGTGATCCAATACCTTATATAGTACACTTATCATAATTTGGTTGTAATCCAGATAGGTTAGAACAAGTATCTAGATCCTCTATGAGGGTGTGGAGGGAACCAAATTGTGGATTTAAAAGAAAACATGAATCATCAGCATACAATGACAGCCTTGTTTGTAATCCCTGGATTTGTAGCCCGTTGACATTATTGCTGGATCTGATTTTAATAGCTAACATTTCGATGGCCATAATAAATAGATATGCCGATAGTGGACAACCTTGTTTTGAGTGAGAAAGTTACAGGCGCACAAATATCATACCCCCAAGACATGCTAACCTCTCACCATTACAATAACAGGGAAGGTTAGCATTTAGGGGGGGGGGGTATGATATTTGTGCGTCTGTAACTTTCTCACTCATCATTATTAAGGATTCATTCAGGATTATCAGTAATCATGGTAGCATCCACATTAATGTAGACGTGTTTAGAAACATATTCTATTCTTATTTACAATAATAGTGACTCCAAAATGACACAATACATTGTTTACCATTCATTTCTATTGGGCACAAAATTATCTGAAACACAACCAAAACAAACAGCAAATGCATGCAACAAATGTGTAAAGTCACAAGCTTGATGTAGTCATTGTGTGCTATGAATATGGGACCAAATACTTAGCTTTGTACTACTTTAAGACACATATAAGTGAATTTGGGTCCCCTAAAATGGGATGTCTATGTGCAGAAAGTGATGTTATTTCTAAACGGTTCGCCCGATATGGATGAAAAGGCCCTCAAATTAAAGCTGATAGTCTGCACTTTAATCTCATAGTCATTGCATCATTTGAAATCCAGTGCTGGACTACTGTATATGTTATTGGATTACTATATGTGATTCTACATGTAAATCTATGGGTATGGTAACTTTCCTATAGGGTAAAACCTAGACCTAGGCAGAGTACTGTTTATGTGTCAGTTCCTGAGAGAGTATGCATACCTCAAAGGTTTTAATCACACCTGCTGCATCCGAGACCACATTTTCATGAGTCAGCATTGCTCCCTTAGGGTCACCTGAAACCAACAACTAATATTAGGAGGGTGTTCACATGATATACAAGAGACACACACACACAGTAAAGTACAGTATGGTCAACCTGTAGTTCCACTGGTGAAACATATGATGCTGAGGTCCTCCGGCTTTGGTGGCTGTAGGGGAAGCAGAAACACACATTTACCGTAGTATTTCTACATACAATTTTGCCAGAAAAAAACTATTTTGAAATCAAAAGCAGGTGGGGTTAATACAGCTGAATATTCCTTAGAACATTGTTTTAGACTGGATAATAAATATACAAGTAACATATTGTATGACTTTTACTTACAACTGGCTTGTGTAGATTGTCCTTCCCCAGAGCCTAAAAAATATTTTTGATTCAATTGATTTATCTAAAACGGTTTTTTGATAAATGTTTGAAAAGAGGACAGCATTTGCTCTACATTGGGCATGGCCACTGAAACACTATGGACTAGTACTTGCTTAACCACCCTAGAGCATTGTTTACCAATCCTCTTCTTGAGTACCAAGCCAGTTCCACTAATTTTATGCATTTCAACATTGTCTTACATTGCGCTGGTGTAAGACTGGCGTAAGACTATGGCATTTCAGTACAAGCACACTTGATTCATCTCATCAACTTATTACCATGCACTTCATTAGTTGAGGTGTGCTTTAACTGGAATTGGTCAAATAAGTGGAACTGAGTAGAGGGACTTCAGGAGAGATTTGCGAAACACTGCCCTAGAGAGTAGCGATTATCACAATAACTTTCTTGAACAATTACAGTTGGGACCTCATTAAGAAAATACAGGATTAGAGATAAGACAGCTTTAGTAGGCAATGTAAGTCTACTCCTGCAGTATTACCCCCCGAATGGTTGTTAGGATTTGGGAATGTAAAGTTGATCCTATCTATGATTAAGGTCAATTTGTTCTTGGAGCATGGGTAAAATACAGCTGAACTTATCATAGACCCTTGGGGAACCCCTCGGGAGCAATAGGCTTTGAACTGATGAAGACCCCAAGGGTCGAAAAGCTATTCCAATACAACTTGGAAGCATAGATTGCAGTGTGCAGTCTTTTTCTTTTTTTACTTAACAAATACTTTATTCTCCAGCACCTGCTCAAAGCCATTGAAAGTGTGTAAACGCTTATTTTCTTAGACATCCCTATATACTGTCATACAGTACAGTACCTCCACTTCCTGTAGGGACATGATGTCCACCCCACACTTTGCGCCCCGTACGGTCAGCTCAGTGTCAAAGGCATCCATGAGGATAATAGTTTTGAGGTCAGGCGTCTCTCCCTTCTCACAGTTTTCAAGCAGTGTCTCGGCTTTGTTCTGTTTGTCACACAGCACTGTGGAGATGTCCGCTGAAATCACAAACAATCAGTTGAAAATGTGGCGGCTGGAACATGTTCAAATTGATCAGAAATACAGTGTAGACATTGCTAATGTTGTAAATGGCTATTGTAGCTGTAGAAAAAGCCATATCAGACTGGCCAATAAACTCTGCCTAGAAGGTCAGCATCCCGGAGTCGCCTCTTCACTGTTGACGTTGAGACTGGTGTTTTGCGGGTACTATTTAATGAAGCTGCCAGTTGAGGACCTGTGAGGCGCCTGTTTCTCAAACTAGACACTCTAATGTATTTGTCCTCTTGCTCAGTTGTGCACCGGGGCCTCCCAATCCTCTTTCTATTCTGGTTAGAGCCAGTTTGCGCTGTTCTTTGAAGGGAGTAGTACACAGCGTTGTACGAGATCTTCAGTTTCTTGGCAATTTCTTGCATGGAATAGCCTTAATTTCTCAGAACAAGAATAGACTTATGAGTTTCAGAAGAAAGTTATTTGTTTCTGGGCATTTTGAGCCTGTAATCGAACCCACAATTGCTGATGCTCCAGATACTCAACTAGTCTCAAACAGGCCAGTTGTATTGCTTCTTTAATCAGCACAACAGTTTTCAGCTGTGCTAACATGGTGCCTGAACGGTCACACGCTCCCCAAAGCGAGTGCGGAGAGTTGGCTCTGGTCTGAAACCTGGCTCCGCCAACCACCCTGTGTGCCCCCCCAAAAAAATTTTCGGGCTTCTGTCGTGGTCGTGAACTTCGGAGTCGCCGTTGATCCTCCCATGTCCAAGACGTCTGCTCCTCCCGGACACGCTGCTTGGTCCGTTTGTGGTGGGATCTTCTGTCACGTTCGTTGATTGAAGGCTCGGACCAAGGTGCAGCGTGGTAGGCGAACATATTAATTTATTAAATGAACACAGAAAAAACAACAAAATACACACGAACGTGGAGTTCTGCAGGCTCCAAAGCACCTATACAAAAACAAGATCCCACAAACTAAGGTGGGAAAAAGGCTGCCTAAGTATGATCCCCTATCAGAGACAACGATAGACAGCTGCCTCTGATTGGAAACCATACCCGGCAAACAAAGAAATAGAAACACTAGAATGCCCACCCAAATCACACCCTGACCTAACCAAATAGAGAATAAAAGGGATATCTAAGGTCAGGGCGTGACAGTAATGTGTTGTATTGGATTTTCCCCAAACACTTTGTATTCAGGACAAAAAGTTAATTGCTTTGCCACATTTTCTTGCAGTATTAATTTAGTGCCTTGATGCAAACAGGATGTTTTTGAGTATTTTTATTCTGTACAGGCTTCCTTCTTTTCACTCTGTCAGTTAGGTTAGTATTGTGGAATAACTACAATGTTGTTGATCCATCCTCAGTTTTCTCCTATCACAGCCATTCAACTCTGTAACTGTTTTAATGTCACAATTGGCCTCATGGAGAAATCCCTGAGCGGTTTTCTTTCCTCTTCTGCAACTGAGTTAGGAAGGATGCCTGTATATTTGTAGTGACTGGGTGTATTGATACACCATCCAAAGTCTAATTACTAACTTCACCATGCTCAAAGGGATATTTAATGTCTGCTTTTTATTTTATTTGTACCTATCTACCAATAGGTGCCCTTCTTTGCGAGGCATTGGGAAAACCTCCCTGGTCTTTGTGGTTGAATCTGTGTTAGAAATTCAGTGCTCGACAGAGGGACCTTACAGATAATTGCATGTGTGGGGCACAAAGATGAGGTAGTCATTCTCAAATCATGTTAAACACTTTTATTGCACATAGAGTTAGTCCATATTATGTGACTTGTGAAGCACATTATTTCTTATTTAGACTTGCCTTAACAAAGGGGTTGAATCCTTATTGAATCAAGACATTTCAGCTTTTATTTTTTATTAATTTGTATGCATGCATGCTTGCATGTATGTATGTATTCATACTGGGTTGTAACAGGTCCATGCATCTTGATTTTGCCAAATGTGGCACAACCCTTTTGCCACCTTCTTTATAGCATTACATTTGCTTATAAATGATTTCTGAAGCATCTATTTGAGCATTATAAAAGGATTATGAAGGCTTGCACTATAGTAGCATGGGCATGGAGGGGAGGAGGTGGAGTTAACGAGTGATATAGGAAAAATGAGAAGAAGATTAGTCAAGGTAAAATATAGTGGACTCTGCATCAAGCCTTGTGGAACCCCTAGGGAATGACAGGCCTAAACCTGGCCTCATTAACACTGTTAATGAAGTGCAGTACATGGTGGAGCAGGCCCAATTACCTTTCTTAATAATGAACTCCAGTGCCTCGTGTCCCAGGGTGTCATACAGGGGCACCGCCACCATGGAATAGGTGTAGCAGGCCAGCTCGCTGATAATCCACTGGACCAAAGAACAAGCAGGGAGCAATAATAAGCCGTACAGGATCAATGTTCAACGGATCAACACTCTGGTCTCATTTGAAATCAACAGCTCATGTGTTGCCCATTTAGAATATAATACCGATTCGGATTTTTCATACAGTTCAATGACTGCAACTTCTGTATGCAGCAATATGACAGTGATAGATGAAATATACTCAACCTAGAAAAAAATTCTCACCTCTGGTCTGTTCTGAGCAAAGATACCAATGAAGGTGTCAGGGGTCGGCTTCAGGCCCCTGTGGATCAGCCCTGACCCAAGGTGCTCAGCCCGATTGGACACCTGCGGTGGAAGGCATTACAGCAAAGATCTAAGGTCAAGGATGTTAGGGTCTCTATACATACAGACCTTGATCAAATGCACGAAGAATGCACTACACATCCGTCTGTCCTTCAAAAGTTCTATGTATGCAAAAATTACGGACAAGTCACTGTCATGTCTACCTCTGATAAGCCTCCCAGTAAAGCAATAAAAACAATCAAGCAACCCAGAAAAGCGCTTAAAAAAGCCCACATGAACATATGTAGCCTAAGAAACAAGGTTAATGAAATCGATAACTTGCTAGAAACAGAATGCATTCATATACTGGCTATCTCTGGAAACTCACTTATATAATTACTTTGATGATACAGTGGTAGCAATATATGGTTATAACATCTACAGAAGAGACATGAATGCCAATGGGGGAGGTGTTGCTGTTTATATTCAGAGTCATATTCCTGTAAAGCTTAGAGAGGATCACATGTCAAATGCTGTTGAAGTAATATGGCTACAGGTTCACCTGCCTCACCTAAAGCCCATTCTTGTGGGAAGTTGCTATAGACCACCAAGTGCTAACAGTCAGTATCTGGATAATATGTGTGAAATGCTTGATAATGTATGTCATATCAACAGAGAGGTGTACTTTCTGGGTGACCTAAATATTGACTGGCTTTCATCAAGCTGTCTACTCAAGAAAAAGCTTCAAACTGTAACCAGTGCCTCCAACCTGGTTCAGGTTATCAGTCAACCTACCAGGGTATTTACAAACAGCACAGGAATGAAATCATGTATTGATCACATCTTTACTAATGCTGCAGAAATCTGCTCTAAAGCAGTATCCACATCCTTTGGATGTAGTGATCAAAATATTGTAGCCATATCTAGGAAAACCAAAGTTCCAAAGGCTTGGCCTAATATAGTGTATAAGAGATCATACAAGAGGTTTTGTAATGATTCCTTTGTTGAAGATGCTGCACTTGACACATTTATGAAATTGCTTATTCCAGTTACTAATAAGCATCTACCCAGTAAGAAAATGACTGTAAAAACTGTTAAATCCCTGTGGATTGATGAGGAATTAAAAAAATTTATGGTTGAGAGGGACGAGGCAAAAGGAATGGCAAATATGTCTGGTTGCACAGCTGGTCGTTAAACTTACTGTAAATTGAAAAATCATGTGACTAAACTAAACAAAAAGAAGAAGAAATAAAGTCAAATTATATAAAGAATGCTAGTAAAAAGCTTTGGAGCACCTTAAATTAATTTTTGGCCAAGAAAGGCGAACTCAGCTCCATCCTTCATTGAATCAGATGGTTAATTCATCACAAAACCCAATGATATTGCTGTTGGTGCTGTCATCTTCAGGACAGGAATACCGGCTTACTTAACGGAGGAATAAACACACATGTTCATCGTTGGTGTTTCAACCAGAACGCGGGAAAATGCCCTTTCTTTATTTTCGCACATGCGCAGTTGTACGTCTCTCATAGGGCATAACTGTACCAGTGTAAGAACACAATTTATAACATATTAGTCTATATGTTAACACCCCCACTTGCTCTTATACTGTACAAGTCGTATTCAACCTAACTATCAACACATTTAGCTTACAGTTATACATCTCACAAATGTCAGTTTACATTCCAAACATATAACCCAAGAATTTTTCAACTTCGTTACAGGTTTAGTCAAAACATCTGCAACCATGTCTGCCGTTGGACAATATTCAATACTTATTTTGCCATCACTGAGTGCAGATCGAATGAAATGATATCTGATGTCAACATGTTTACATCTCTGACGACACACTGGGTTCTTTGACAGAGCAATTGCACCTTGGTTATCTTCAAAGATTGTTACTGGTGCATATTGGCACTCACTATCCATCTGGATAACTGTACAAGGTACAAACTTTCTTGTGTAGTAGCAGCCAGTGCCATGTACTCTGCTTCACATGTAGATAAAGCTACTGTTGGCTGCTTCTTAGACCTCCATGAAATAACAGGTCCACATTTAGTTAAACTAAAACAAAACCCTGTTATGCTTCGTCTGTCACTTTGATCTGCTGCCCAATCAGCATCACTATATGCTACGAGGTTGAGTTTTTCCACCCCCTTTTTGTAACACAACTCCTGATTCATTGTCCCCTTCAAGTACCTCAACACATGTTTAGCTGTTATCCAGTGTTGCTCTTTTGGTTCTGATAGGTATTGTGACAGCTTGCTGACAATCCAACTGATTTCCGGTCTTGTACATGTCATAACATATATCAAGCTGCCTATCACTTCACGATACCTAAAATATATTTTTTTTTATTTTTTTTTATTTTTTTCACCTTTATTTAACCAGGTAAGCCAGTTGAGAACAGGTTCTCATTTACAACTGCGACCTGGCCGAGATAAAGCAAAGCAGTGCAATAAAAACAATACAGAGTTACATATGGGGTAAAAAACATAAAGTAAAAATACAACAGAAAATATATATACAGTGTGTGCAAATGTAGCAAGTTATGGAGGTAAGGCAATAAATAGGCTATAGTGCAAAATAATTACAATAGTATTAACACTGGAATGCTAGATGTGCAAGAGATTATGTGCAAATAGAGATACTGGGGTGCAAAAGAGCAAAATAAATAACAATATAGGGATGAGGTAGTTGGGTGGGCTAATTTCAGATGGGCTGTGTACAGGTGCAGTGATCGGTAAGGTGCTCTGACAACTGATGCTTAAAGTTATTGAGGGAGATAAGAGTCTCCAGCTTCAGAGATTCTTGCAATTCGTTCCAGTCATTGGCAGCAGAGAACTGGAAGGAATGGCGGCCAAAGGAGGTGTTGGCTTTGGGAATGACCAGTGAGATATACCTGCTGGAGCGCAGACTACGGGTGGGTGCTGCTATGGTGACCAATGAGCTAAGATAAGGCGGGGATTTGCCTAGCAGTGATTTATAGATGGCCTGGAGCCAGTGGGTTTGACGACGAACATGTAGTGAGGACCAGCCAACAAGAGCGTACAGGTCACAGTGGTGGGTAGTGTATGGGGCTTTGGAGACAAAACGGATGGCACTGTGATAGACTACATCCAATTTGCTGAGTAGAGTGTTGGAGGCTATTTTGTAAATGACATCGCCGAAGTCAAGGATCGGTAGGATAGTCAGTTTTACGAGGGCATGTTTGGCAGCATGAGTGAAGGAGGCTTTGTTGCGAAATAGGAAGCCGATTCTAGATTTAACTTTGGATTGGATATTCTTTATGTGAGTCTGGAAGTTGAGTTTACAGTCTAACCAGACACCTAGGTATTTGTAGTTGTCCACATACTCTAGGTCAGACCCGTCGAGAGTGGTGATTCTAGTCGGGTGGGCGGGTGCCAGCAGCGTTCGATTGAAAAGCATGCATTTAGTTTTACTAGTGTTTAAGAGCAGTTGGAGGCTACTGAAGGATTGTTGTATGGCATTGAAGCTCGTTTGGAGGTTTGTTAACACAGTGTCCAATGAAGGGCCAGATGTATACAAAATGGTGTCGTCTGCGTAGAGGTGGATCTGAGAGTCACCAGCAGCAAGAGCGACATCATTGATATACACAGAGAAAAGTGTCGGCCCAAGAATTGAACCCTGTGGCACCCCCATAGAGACTGCCATAGGTCCAGACAACAGGCCCTCCGATTTGACACACTGAACTCTATCTGTTTTTTCTTTTTTTTTTCTTTTTTGTTCACATGGTGTTGACCTTGTTTTACAGTCTGACATACCAAACCTTTCCAGTATCTTGGTTATGTACCTTGTTTGGCTCATCTTTATTTTCCCTTCACTTTGTGTAAAATCAATGCCTAGGAAATGTCCAAGCCTCCCAAGATCTTTCATCTTAAATTTTTCACTTAACATTTCTTTTACACTTGTGAGTGAGTCACTATCACTAGCAGCGATAATTAGATCATCGACCCAAATTATCAAAATGATCCTTTCTGTTGCAGTTTGTTTGTTGTAAACACAGTAATCAGCTGGGTTCTGTGTAAAACCATTTTCACTAAGGTGATCATGCAACATTTTGTTCCAGTTCCTTCCTGACTGTTTCAGGCCGTACAGTGACTTGTTCAGTTTGCAGACTAGTTGCTCACCTGTATCTGACCTGACTTCAAAACCCTCTGGTTGCTCCATGTACACTTCACAGTCAATAGGAGCATGTAGATATGCTGTTTTGACATCCATCTGATGTAACTCTAAGTCATACTGAGCTGCTAGCTGCATCAAACAACATACTGATGTCATATTTGCAGTTGGAGAAAAAGTCTCCTTATAGTCTATTCCTGCCACTTGACTATATCCCTTTGCAACATATCTTGCCTTGTATGTCTCAGTCTCATCTGAATTGTTTTTGACCGCATAGACCCACCTGCCCCCCACTGCATTTTTACCCTCTGGCAGTGTGGTCAATGTGAATGTATCATTTTCCCTAAGGGAATCCATCTCCTCCTTCATAGCAGTAGCCCAAATCTCTGATTTTGGTGAAATCATTGCTTCTTTGAAGGTTTGTGGTGCATTGCACATTACTCTGTAGCAGTAGTCAACACTAGGTGGTATCTGGTCATCACACTTCACTTTACACTCATAGTCTTTTAAGTACTGGGGCTTCTTCCTCTCTCTGTCTGGATAGCGTGGACTCTGACTATCTGAAGTCTCGATTTGCACATCTTGTGTCTCTTCTGAATTTTTATCTGCCATCTTGGCTTTTGGCATGGGGGATTGAAATCTCTCCCCATGAAGATCATCACTCATTTCCAAATCTGTCTGAGTTTGGCGTTCGACTACACCTTTTGTAACGAACTTGACTAATCTGTTTTTAAGAAATTTTCCAGTGTCTGGGTAGTAGACTAGGTATGCTGGACTATTTTTATCATACCCGACAAAAATACCCTTTTCACATCTTGAGTCCAACTTTTTCTTGTTCTGTCTGTATGCATAGCAAACAGATCCACATTCTTTCATCTTTGAAAGATCAGTCTTTCTCCCAGTAAACATGTAGTGTGGAGTCTGTCCTACACGCTTATTGTAACACCTATTGCGAATTACTGCAGCAGTCATTACAGCATATGTCCACAATTTCTTTGGTAGGTTGCTCTCAAGTAGCATGCATCTTGCCATTTCAAACAGTGTTCTCCAATTTCTCTCAGCGGTCCCATTTTGATGGGGTGAGTAAGGGGCTGAAGTTTCATGTCTTATGGCATTCTTACTGAGCAGTGACTGGAACTCTTTGGCTGTGTACTCTGTGCCATTATCTGACCTGACACACTTTATTTTTCCATAAGGGGCCACATCAGCAATAAACTTCTCAGTAGCTTTTACAGTATCACTTTTTGCTTTTAGGAAATACACAAAAACTGCCCCTGAATAATCATCCGTAAATGCTAGAGTATATCTGAACCCATCTTTTGCCTCTGGCTCAATAGGGCCAGCCAAATCAGTGTGCACAAGCTCAAGAGCTGCTTTCGCCTTTTCATCAGGCTCTCTGTTTCTGCTCTGAACAAATTTTCCCTGTGTGCAGATTTCACAGTTGAGGGTAGATTTGTCAATCTTACCTGTGATTTTCATTCCCTCTGTCACATTTTCTAACTTTGACACATCCTCAAAATTACAGTGGCCAAGAATTTTGTGCCATGTGTGAATATCATAGCACCCATGACTTCCATCATCATTTTCATCACTTACAGTGTTAAGATAGTAAAGTATATCGTACTCCTTGATGTCAAAAGTGGTACCGTTCTTGTGGATGAGCTTGTTACACCCCTGTCGAAAGTTGACTGAAGCTCCGTTGGCTGTCGCTGCTTTAACAGAGAAAATGTCCTGTGGAAACGACGCACGTACAGCGCCTTCGTCAGCGTTGTTTTCACCCGACGACCCGTGTTGTCTCTCAGGTAAACCTCCGCTGCACCTCTCCTCTCTGCGACACCATTCGTTCTTGTTCCGTCAGCCAGCTCGACGGAATGTTTTTCCGGTTTGAAAGTCTCGTCAAACTCCTTAAACTTCCCGATGTCCGTGACTATATGTGACGTTGCTCCCGTATCAACCATCAGCCCTTTTTGTTTCAGTCCACGAACCTGACAGTCACTTATTTTGAATGCAAATGTGTGGCCTTCAGCATCTGTTGCTTGTTTCACATTGTCTCTTCTTTTTCGTCTGCAATTTGCGTCAGTATGAGTGGAGCTCTTGCAAAAACTACACCACTGTCTCCGTTCTCTGTGCTCTCCAGTAACGGTACATTCCCGGGCCTTGTGCCCTTTCTGGCCACAGTTGAAGCAGGTTATCTCGGTCCCTTTATCTCTTCCTCTTGGCCAGCTAACTTTAATGTTACTTGCCTTCATCACGTTGTCGTCAGTGGAAATGCCGCTAAACTTCTCGGTGCTTTCATAGCTCCTCAACTTGGTTTTGAACTTGCCATAAGTTGTCGGCTCGTCACTCTGCGTTATGTGGATGGCAAACGGCTTAAATGATTCGGGCAAACCTTTCAGAATCATTGCAATCAACAGCCCGTCACTTAAAGTCTCTTCAGCATTCCTCAGTGCTGTAATAGCCGTCTCAGCACGAATGATATAATCCGTAACACTTTCGTCACTGGCTTTCTGAAGAGAAGTTAGCTCAGTGTAGAGGCTAATCACACGTGGCTTCCCTTTACCTGCATAATGTTCCCTCAATATCTTCAATGCTTTTCTCCCATCATCTGCTGCTTCTCTCATTATCAGGGAAAGACTTTTATCATCCAAAACCTGTATCAATTCGGCGTAGGCTTCTTAATTTTTCTCTCCGTCTTCTTCATCTTCATCCACGCTCAATATGGTGGCCTTTAGCCCTAGCAAACGCAAGTGTCCCAAAAACTTTGTCTCCCATAACTCGTGGTTTTTTTCATCTCCGTCGAAACATAATCTATTCCATCGGCTTCCATGTTCCCTCCTGGGCCCATAACCTGTTGGTGCTGTCATCTTCAGGACAGGAATACCGGCTTACTTAACGGAGGAATAAACACACATGTTCATCGTTGGTGTTTCAACCAGAACGCGGGAAAATGCCCTTTCTTTATTTTCGCACATGCGCAGTTGTACATCTCTCACAGGGCATAACTGTACCAGTGTAAGAACACAATTTATAACATATTAGTCTATATGTTAACAATTGCCAACTACTTTAATTATTTTTTCATTGGCAAGATTAGCAAACTTAGGCATGACATGCCATCAACAAGCTCTGAACCTACACATCCATTCATAACTGACCAAATTATGAAAGATAAGCACTGTCATTTTGAATTCCGTAAAGTGAGTGTGGAAGAGGTGAAAAAATATATATTGTTGTCTATCAACAATGACAAGCCACCTGGGTCTCCCTACTTGGATGGAAAAGTACTGAGGATGATAGTGGATGACATTGCCACTCCTATTTGTCATCTCTTCAATCTAAGCCTACAGGAAAGTGTGTGCCCTCAGGCCTGGAGGAAAACAAAAGTAATTCCGCTATCCAGGAATAGCAAAGCACCGTTTACAGCCGACATAATCCAGGTAGAGTCAGGCATTCCCCAAGGAAGTTGTCTAGGCCCTCACTTTTTTAAGATGGGGAGAGGTCTTGCGCTGCTCTGCTTTCTTGACATTGCTATCATCAAAACAAGTCCTACAGGCCCTAATTTTTTCGTACCTGGACTACTGCCTAGTCATATGACAAAGTGCCACAAAGAGAGTCATAGGCAAATTACAGTTGGCACAGAACAGAGCAGCGCGGCTGGCCCTTAAATGTACAAGGAGAGCTAATATCAATGACTGCATCACTACTTGTCTTTGTGAGAGGTATTGACATGTTGAAAGCACCGAGCTGTCTGTTCAAATGACTAGCACACAGCTCAGACACCCATGCATACCCCACAAGACATGACACAAGGGATTTCTTCACAGTCACCAAGTCCAGAACAGACTCTGGGAAACACACAGTACAACACAGAGCCATGACTACATGGAACTCTATTCCACATCAAGTAACTCATGCAAGCAGTAAAATCAGGTTTAAAAAACAGATACAACTACACTTTATGAAACAAAGCAGACTGTGAAGAGACACACACACACACACACACAGGCACACATACTCTACACACACACGTACATTGTAATATTGTTGTATGGTAGTATTATAAATGTTGTATTGTAGATATTTAGTGGTGTAATAATGTTATATGAAGTACTGTTTTTTGTGTGATGTAAGTGCCACAATGTGTTAGGCCGGGACCTAATAAAAGGGAATACCTAATAAATACACATACAAACACAAATGAATGTCAACGCATGAGCCACTTAGAAAAGCCATTGGCTCATTCCATATTTTATACATGATTATTCTGAATTCAGACCCAGAGATATGCTGGCCTATGTAAGTACTATCGGTGATAGTGTCATACCTGTTTGTATTTCAGCCACTGGTACGGTTGCCCTGGTTTCCTGTAGCCTAGACAGGGTCCATTACCTGTAAAGGAGAAATGGATTGAATCTCCTCATTATCATAACCTCATAATCTCACTGACCTTGCCACGTTCAGTCAGACATGAATACTACTATGTAATTGGAATCAGCAACCAACTGAGGGGACCTCTAATTCTAATGTTGATTCCAAAAACGTATATTTTATTCTTAGTGCAGAAACAAGATGTATGTGACAGAAGGTGATATGGTGGTGACCTGACACTTGTAGTCCCCTCTGGAAGACTTCGTACATTGTTCTGGCGTCGTCATAGAAATACGACATCAGGTTGTCATCTTCCTGCAGGGCACTTTTCCTCGCTCCATCCTGGATATGAGGGAGCGCAATGACATATCAGGGAAGACACATTGAAAAACAATGAGGAAAATTGGAATCGTAATCTGTTTATGACTTCCTGAATTGACTGAATTTAAATTGGAATTGACCCTCAACCCTGTGATCCAATCCTCTCAGATACAGGATTGCCTAGGGTGTAGGTAGGGGCTAGGGGTCAATTTGGAATTCAGACAGAGAGTGTACTTACCCTGACTCCTATGGTCTGGCAGTTGAGGTCTGCAGGCATGGTGAGGGGTTTAGGCCTGGTGTTGAGGTAGACCAGGGCAGCCCCCATCAGGGCAAACAGGGAGACGATGGCCGAGGTGGGCAGAGGGCTGAACAGGAAGTTGAGGAGGAAGTCCATGTTCAAATCTGACGAGAGAGAGGAAAGTGCTATTACCAATACACAATATTAACACTATTACTTGCATGCTCTTGTGAAGGCGGCAGGTAGCCTAGCGGTTAAGAGCGTTGGGCAAGTAACCGAAAGTTTGCTGGTTTGAATCCTGAGCTGACTAGGTGAAAGATCTGTCAATATGTCCTCAGCGAAGGCACTTAACCCTAATTGCTCCTGTCTGCTAAATGACTACAATGTACATATTGTATTGTCTAGCTGAGATATGTAGTGATTTCATTGGAATGTGACATGAAAAGGCAATTTTGTTGTGTGCATGGCACATGTACATGTACTACATCATGTATGATGTATGTGTGTGTGTTACCATTAAATGGGGTCAAAGTCAGTGTATATTACTGTAGTGTTATCTGCAATGACTTTTGCCCCATAGACATGTACTGTTAGAGTAATTCTCAATGTAGTGGTCTACTCGGTACATTGTAGAACGCTGTTTACCTAGGTTGACCCATTTCCGCCATCATCTCCAATTCAATGCTTGCATCTAACAACTCTCAATGTCAATATTTGTCTTTGACCTAGTGTGTGTGTGTTTGTTTGCATGCCTGTGTGTGTATTCCACGCTGACTGTGTTTCAGTAAGAGGAGAAACTAAGGAAGAATTAATCTATTTATGATGACAGATCGGCACTCTGAAACGCCTGCATAGGGAACAGTGAAAGACATTGATAAGACTTTATGGTCATCTACAGTCCAAAGTCAGAACTTCAAGGGCACTTGGGAGGTTGGACCCACTGGACGCATAAAGATTTGATATGGTTGATAACACCATTGACCATACTCCCCCCTCTTGAGATCAAATGTAGAGGGTGTACCACAAGGATCGATTTTTGGACCTTCAAATATATATTAATGATCTGCCAAACGCATCTAAAATGCTTTCTCAGATTCTGCTACCTGATGATACAAGTGTATTTTATTTCGATAGGAGGTAAAAAACGTTTTCACATAGCATACCATTTTTATTTGACTCTATTTCCATATTCCATATTCCATATTCTCTATCTCTATCTATTTGGTCCTTTTACCCATACCACGATTACATAATGCATCACTTGATTGATATCACAGTTTTTCTTCATTTCTGCAGCACAATTTCTGATCAATGGTCAAAATGGTGCATTGTGGTTAATACTATCCATCTGATATGCCATTTATGCAAATAAAGGGGCAAATACAAAGACTCAATTAACCCATCAGCATCACCAGCCAATAACGTACACCCAGTTTTTTACAGTTTTAACTGCGCAAAACCATAGTCAGGACTACATATCTGTATACTCAAACAGTCTAAAACCATTTAGCTAGGCTATCTCTGCTAACATGTTTTCTTTAAACTTAGTTGAAGCATGTTGCAGTTGAATTCATCATACTGACAGTGTGTCAATACTTAGTTGAAGATATTTAGATCACCTGAGAGGGGTTATGCAAATAAAATGTTAACGACACATTTGTTTTACCAATGTCAACAATCTAACCCCTACACCTAACAAGCACACAAAACATGACACCCTACCTGTCTTTCTCCCAGGTATCTTTCGGTGTCTCTGCCGTCCTTTCCAATTTCACCGTCTGCTCTTTGGGGGCTCCACTCACTGATGACAGGTGTGTGTCTATGTGTGTGTGTAGGACCAAGCCTCATCCACTGGTCTGCTCGGTGACACTGGGGTGAGTGAGGAAGTCATAACCAAAGCTCCCATAAAACTGAGCTGATAGCAAGTGACTTTTGAACCTTGGCCACTATCTTTCAAACTGATAACTGAAAATGAGCACAGACATCAACATAGCTTGGGCCCTTTACAACAAAATAGAGGGGAGTGTATCGCACAATGAACCCCTCCCCAGGTGAGAGAGTATGAAGTGCTTCCCTCTTATCAGTTCTACTCAGCATGTACACAAAATATATCCTTTTGACTGTATACATAATCTAAATTGTATTTCTCTGACCTAGTTGTCCCCACATTTATCAGGGCTATTCATTTCTTGTGTTGATTTAATATTTTTGGTATTAAGAAAGTTGGAAAGAGGACACAATAACACCTCTCCCCCTCAGGAGACTGAAAAGATTTGGCATGGGTCCCCAGATCCTCAAAAAGTTATACAGCTGCACTATCAAGAGCATCCTGACCGGTTGTATCACCGCCTGGTATGGCAACTGCTCGGCACCGACCGTAAGGCAGACCAGTACATCACTGGGGCCAAGCTTCCTGCCATCCAGGACCTATATACTAGGCGGTGTCAGAGGAAGGCCCAAAAAATGGTAAAAGACTCCAGTCATCCAAGTCATAGGCTGTTCTCTCTGCTACCGCATGGCAAGCGGTACCGGAGCGCCAAGTCTAGGTCCAAAAGGCTCCGTAACAGCTTCTACCCCCAAACCATGAGACTGCTGAACAATTAATTAAACGGCCACCCGGACTATTCGCATTGACACCCCCCCTTTACGCTGCTACTACTCTCTGTTTACTATCTATGCATAGTCACTTTAACTCTACCTACATGTGCATATTACCTCAATTACCTCGACTAACCTGTACCCCGCACATTGACTTGGTACCGGTACCCCCTGTATATAGCCTCATTATTGTTATTTTATTGTGTAACTTTTATTTTTATATTTTTTTACTTTAGTTTATTTAGTAAATATTTTCTTAACTCTATTTTCTTAAAACTGCATTGTTGGTTAAGGCTTATAAGCATTTCACGGTAAGGTGTATTCGGTGCATGTGACAAATAAAATTTGATTTGATTTGATTTGGTCATTGGGTGAAAGGTTGTCATCTAGGTGCAGCTTCTAGCAAAGTTCTTATCATCCTACTCCTCACCTTCCCTCTCAATTTTTGGTACCATTGCTAATGCATGATATACAATATGTCTACATAATGTATAAAATATGCTTTCCAATAACCGATAATGTACTGGATTGGTCACTAGGTGAAAGGTTGTACAGGTTTCTAGCCAAGTTCTTATAATCTCCTCCTTCGTATACTGTTCACACCTAACCTTTCCATTCCAATATCTCAACTAACACAAAATCCATACCTTAGTTAATACTCTGTACTGTATAGGCTACATGTGTCCTTATCGACTGGGGAAGCAAGGTCATGTAAATGTGTTATTGACTTGAAAAATACTTGATAATCACTCTGTTGTGATTGAGCTAATCTTGACACAGTACTGCACTGCCTATGAGTGTAGTGTTTTTGACCTCAAAGGTCAAACTAAGATGAAACTTCTACTGAAGATTCCATGATAGACCAACAACATTCATGTGATTTTAGTATTAGTGAAACAAATATTTTGTATTTGGCCAAATTCTGAATAACCTTGGAAAGTGATGTACGTTGACCTCATGATGTAAGCGTTCAATGTACCGAGGATAATGTAAGCTACCTCTTTGATTTAATTATTTACGCTAGCCAGACAGCAATGATGCTATCAATGCATAGCTAGCTATGCTAGGTGGATCAGGGTGTCTCCAAAAGGACACTAGAATGAATGAGGTTATTATAGCATTGTTTTGAAATGCAAGCTTATCAGAAGATCCAAGGCAGCATGTTTACATATATAGTGCCTTCAAAAAGTAGTCTTGACTTTTTCCACATTTGGTTGTGTTACAAAGTGGGATTAAAATTGATTTAATTGTAATTTTTGGTCAACGATCTACACAGCTGCCTAAGGGGTAAATCTCTAAGAGCTTTGCACACCTGTATTGTACAATATTTTCCCATTATTCTTTTTAAAATTCTTCAAGCTCTGTCAAGTTAGTTGTTGATCATTGCTAGAAAGCCATTTTCAAGTCTTGGTATAGATTTTCAAGCCGATTTAAGTCAAAACTTTAACCAGGCCACTCAGGAACAGTCAATGTGTCACGCCCTGGCTCTGGGGACTCTTAAATGTTGAGCCAGGGTGTGGATTTGCTATGTTTCGTTTTTCTATGTTTTTGTTCTAGATTGTTTGATCTATGTTGGCCAGGGTGGTTCCCAATCAGAGGCAGCTGTAGCTCGTTGTCTCTGATTGGGGACCATACTTAGGCAGCCTGTTTTGCACTAGTCTTTGTGGGATCTTGATCCGTAAAGGTTTGTTGTGTTATAACCTCAGGACTTCACGTATCGTTTGTTTGTTGTTTTTGTCGTTAAGTACGTTAAATAAAAGTATGTACACTTATCACGCTGCGCCTTGGTCTGTGTCTTAAGTCAACGAACGTGACAGAAGATCCCACCATAAGAGGACCAAGCAGCGTGCCCAGGAGGAGAAGATGGCGATGTCGCAGGTGGGCAAATGGTGGTCTTGGGAGGAGATATTCGCGGGGAAAGGGCCATGGGCAAAGGTGAATGCCCAGGCAGGAGAGGAGACTGTGGAGGCGCGCTACAGAGAGGAGCAGCGGCAACGCAGAGGGTACCGGCCGGGGAGGAAGCCCGAGAGACAGCCCCCCAACATTTTTTTTGGGGGGGGCTAAAAGGGTGATTGGCGGAGCCACGTACTGTGCCGCGAGTGTTCCGGCACAGTCCTGTACGTCCTGTGCTAGCACCACACACGTGTCGTGCTAAGGTGGGCATGCAGCCAGGACGGGGTGTGCCGGCTCAACGCTCGTGGCCTCCAGTACCCCTCCTCGGTCCCGTATATCCTGCGCCAGTGCCACGTGCTGTAGCGCCAGTACGAGTGCACAGCCCTGTACGTCCTGTGCTGATGCCTCACACATATTGTGTGGAAATAGGCATTCAGCCAGGACGGGTTGTGTCAGCTCTCCGCTCCAGACCTCCAGTCCGCCTCCACAGTCCGGCCCGGCCCGTTCCGGCTCCCGGCACCAAGCCAATGGTGCGTGTTCCCAGTCTAGCCCGGCCTGTTCCTGCTCCCCGCACCAAGCCAGTGGTGCGCGTCGCCAGCCCGGTCCGGCCTGTTCCTGTCCCTTGCACCAAGCCAGTGGTGCGCGTCGCCAGCCCGGTCCGGCCTGTTCCTGTGCCTCGCACCAAGCCAGTGGTGCGTGTCGCCAGCCCGGTCCGGCCTGTTCCTGTCCCCCGCACCAAGCCAGTGGTGCGCGTCGCCAGCCCGGTCCGGCCTGTGCCTGTCCCTTGCACCAAGCCAGTGGTGCGCGTCGCCAGCCCGGTCCGGCCTGTTCCTGTCCCTCGCTCCAAGCCAGTGGTGCGCGTCGCCAGCCCGGTCCGGCCTGTGCCTGTCCCTCGCACCAAGCCAGTGGTGTGCATCGCCAGCCCGGTCCGGCCTGTTCCTGTCCCTCGCACCAAGCCAGTGGTGCGCGTCGCCAGCCCGGTCCAGCCTGTTCCTGCTCCCCGCACCAAGCCAGTGGTGCGCGTCGTTAGCCGGTCCGGCCTGTTCCTGCTCCCCGCACCAAGATAGTGGTGCGCGTCGTCAGCCCGGTCCGGCCCATTCCTGCTCCCCGCACCAAGCCAGTGGTGCGTGTGTCCAGTCCGGCACGGCTCGTGCCTGTTCCACCGGTGCCTGGTCCGGCACCGGTCAGCTGCTCCACTCCGGAGCCAGAGCAATCCGCTCCACCGGTGTCCAGTCCAGCTCCGGCCAGCGGGGCCAGATCTTGATCCATAAAGGTTTGTTGTGTTATAACCTCAGGACTTCACGTATCGTTTGTTTGTTGTTTTTGTCGTTAAGTACGTTAAATATAAGTATGTACGCTTATCACGCTGCGCCTTGGTCCGTGTCTTCAGTCAACGATCGTGACACAATGTCATCTTGGTAAGCAATTCCAGTGTAGACTTAGCCTTGTGTTTTAAATTATTGTGCTGCTGAAAGGTGAATTTTTCTCCCAGTGTATGTTGGAAAGAAGACTGAACCAGGTTTTCCTCTAGGATTTTGCCTGTTCTTAGCTGTTTTAAGTTTATTTTTATCCCAAAAACACTCCCTAGTTCTTGAAGATGACAAGCATACCCATAACATGATGCAGCCACCACCATGATTGAAAATATGAAGAGTGGTACTCAGTGATGTGTTGCGTTGGATTTGCCCCAAACATATCGCTTTGAATTCAGGACAAAAAGTAAATTTGTTTGCCACATTTTTTTTACAGTATTACTTAAGTGCCTTGTTGCAAAGAGGATGCATGTTTTTGAATATTTGTATTCTGTACAGGCTTCTTTCTTTTCACTCTGTCATTTAGGTAAGTATTGTGGAGTAACTACAATGTTGTTGATCCATCCTCAGTTTTCTCATATCACAACCTCTAAACTCTGTAACTGTTTTAAAATCACAATTGTGTTCATGGTGAAATCCCTGAGCAGTTTCCTTCCTCTTCGGTAACTGAGTTAGGAAGGACGCCTGTATCTTTGTAGTGACTGGGTGTATTGATACACCATCCAAAGCCAAATTAATAACTTCACCATGCTCAAAGGGATATTCAGCGTCTGTTTTATTTTTTAATATTTTTTTTACATCTACCAATCGGTGCCCTTCTTTGCGAGGCATTCAAAAACCTCCCTGGTCTTTGTGGTTGAATCACTTTTTGAAATGCATTACTCGTTTGAGGGACCTTACAGATAATTGTATGTGTGGGGTAGAGAGATGGGGTAGTCATTTAAAAATCATGTTAAACACTTTTTATGTGATTTGTTAAGCACATTCTTACTCCTGAACTTATTTAGGCTTGCCAAAACAAAGGGGTTGAATACTTATTGACTCAAGACATTTCAGCTTTTAATTTTTTCTTAATTTCGAACATTTTCTACAAACAAAATTCCACATTAACATTATGAGGTATTGTGTGTAGATCAGTGACACAAAATATCAATG